AAAAAAAACCTGAGGTAAAAATTATGAGGAAATAACACATGAGGATTCCTAAAAATGAAGGGCATGAGTTTCCTAACTAAAATGGTCAGCATGCCCTGCATATTGAATAAAAAAGATCCATACAAAGAAACATTGTTTGTTTGATGTTCTGTAACTGCAGAGTCAGTGGGAACTCAATACCACAAATAATTCTGAGAATATACAAATACAAGGAACAAAAAAAAATTACAGATGGAGAATCTTTAGATTAAGAGAGATTCACAAAACATATCAACCAATTGTAATGTATAGACCTAACAGGAACTCTGACTTAAGTCCCAGAGTTACACACATTTACGTTGTTTATGAAGCAAATTGAAATGTGAATAATGCCTGGATATTTGACTGTATTGAGTAATCACTGTCGATTTAGACTTGATATTCATAATGTAACTATAAATAAAGACCCCTTATTTTTTAGTCATAATGAAATATTTTTGGTTAAAATAATATGATACCTGGGATTCATTTCACTTTAATAGGAAGGGGGAAAGCAAGTGGGGTATAAATGATAAAATAATGGCCATATGTAAGTCATTGTTGAAGCTGGTGACCAGTACATTAGGTTCATTATACTATTCTCTTCACTTTTTAAAATCTGTTTAAAGCTTTCCATGTAAAAAAATTTTTGAAAGAAACAGAGGGCCAAGAAATCTTACAGATAGGGATGATGAGAATGAGCAAAGGATCACCGACAAATGTACCCCCTTCAAGGCTTTATACCTTTCCAAGTCCCACCAGCAAGGTATACCTTGGCAACACCAGGTGCTATCTTTTTCTTTAATCTTAGCATTTTGAGTATTATAGCCTTTCTTACATCATGGTGAGATTTAGAATTTTTCATGTGTTTGTTTTCCATCTGAACATCTTTCACATCTTCCCCAATGTCCTTGGAAGATTTTTTTTTTCGTAAAGGTTTTCTCCTTTTTTCTCATCAAGAGTGTGGGATTTACATAGAGAGATACAGAGACAGAGTTATATTTACCCTTTCCTGTAAGTATTTTTCTCATTTGTTTGTCTTTTTACCTTATTTGAAGTGGACAATTTACTTATATGGTAAAACGCTGGATTGCAAGTAACTTGTTCTGCGAGTGTTCCACAAGATGAGCAAACATTTCTAATAAATTTTAACCTGATAAACGAGCGATGTCTTGCAATAGGAGTAGTACTTGATGCCAAAACTCACATGATCACAACTAAGCCAGTGGTGGTTCTCTCTCTCTCTCTCTCTCATTCACTGCAGGATTGTGGGTGATCATCTCCCATGCTGAAATGCCTGATCTGATCTCAGGCTTCGGTGTTTAGCAGAAATTGGTGATTTTTCAGAACGTTGAAAAGTGCCCACAACTGGCACTACTGTATTTTTTGTCACTTCAAAGCACCTATGGACTGTCCTTTGCTTTTCCATTCAAGAGGAAGCTTAGGAATGCTTTGCCTCATTCTAGGTCAGGCTGCCTGCGGATATGGACGCTTTCTTCTGCAGCCTTATTACCAGTTACATTAAATAGAGTAGACGACAAGAGTTTATTTATACTGTACAGTAGTCAACATCCATGTGAGCATATACAAAGGTCCATAGGACAAGCCAATAGACAGCAGTGATTCCATTAGTGACCATGAAAGTCGTCCTACACAATAACCCTCCTCTCTTTTGTCTCACTCACACCAGCCACTAAGGCTTTCAAAGGTAATTGTAGGTTAATTTATTTCTCTTTATATTTTGTATTTTTTTATTTTGTATTATATTACAGTATTGTAATCATTTTTATATGAATATTTTGGAGCTATGGAATAAATCATCTGAGTTTCCATTATTTCTTATGGGGAAATTCGCTTTGATAAATAAATGCTTTGGATTACAAGCATGTTTCCAAAACAAATTATGCTCATAAACCAAGGTTTTACTGTATACGACTTTAATTTTTCATAGTCAAAGCTATAAATCTATTCCTTTACGATTTTGTTCCTTTGCTTTTATGATTAGTAGTAAGTCATACTGCAATCAGAGAGCAAAAGAACTTAAATTTTCTTCTTCTTAGTTTATCAGCGTTTAATATTTTACTCTTTCTTAATCCAAGTGGAACTTATTTCAGAATACAATGTAAGATAGGAATCTAATTTTATTTTGTCCCAAATAGGTAACCAATTGTTTCAACATGACCCACTGAATAATCTTTCCTATCCTCACTGATTTAAAATGGTATGTTAAGATACTAGATTTTATATATATTCAGTAAGTCTACTATTGGCCTTTCAATTCTGTGCCATTTAAAGTTTGCTCTTAGAGTTAGCATACTTTTTGGCCACTCAACAATCTCTTTTCCCCTTCTTTTGGTACCAGAACCCTAATTTTCTTTATAAAAATTTCTTTTGGGGGCTTTATTTTTTTATTTATTTTTTTTTTTTTTGAGAGAGAGAGAGAGAGAAAGATAAGAGTGCAAGTAGAGGAGGGGCAGAGAGACAGGAAGACACCAATCATGCAGGACTTGAACTCGTGAACTATAAGATCATGACCTGAGCTGGAGTCCCTGCTTAACCAAGTAGGCGCTCTGTGGCTTTTTTTTTAAGTTTATTTATTTTGAGAGAGAGAGAGAGAGAGAGAGAGACTCCCAGGCAGGCTCTGTGATATCAATGCAGAGCCCAACACAGGGCTCAAACCTACCAACCACGATCATGACCTGAGCCAAAATCAAGAATCGGATGCTTAACCAACTGAGTCACCCAGGCACCCCTAGGCTTTATTTTTAGTAGAACTGAGAGAGATTTATTTGGAGCAAGCTCCCTCTTTCAATCAAATATTTTCTCTCTGGAATTTGAATCCTAAATAAAGGTACAAAAGGAATGATACCAAATTGTTATTGATAAAATAAAAATTGAGGATACTAATTCATCCCAGTTTCATCCATCATTTCTGTTCCCAAGCCTTCTAGAAACGCTCTGAGATTCATTTTGAAGCCTAACTCCCTAGGTTTCATCCTGATTCTGTGAATATGATTACCATATTCTTCACTGAATTCCCTATTTAAGTTAACCAAAGTTGCTTTCTATTGCATACAACCAAAACACCACAACTGATACATTACTAAAGCTTTAGAGCATGTATTAACTCTGAAACAGTGAGCCCCAGCTCATCACTCTTATCGAAGTGCTTTAGAAACTTTTGTGTAGCTCCTTAGTCTTCAACATGAATTTCCGAATCTGTCTTCCCAAAATAATTTCACTGAATTTTTTATTGGAACTGTTTTAACCCATAATAAAATCCAGGGAGGATTCATATTGTTACAGGATTGAGCATCCCCAAAATGTCTTACCATTTTCTTGAAAACTCTCAGCTAAATTTTGTAGATTTTAAGGTGCTTGTAGTTGATTATATTCCTGTGAAGAAAACTTCTTAAATATTTTAAATATTGTATTCTCTGATTATTGCTGCTATGTAAGAATGTAAATACAAGTGTCACATATTATTTTCTTTCCGGCCTCCTTACTGAATGTTTTTACTAGTATTAATAATTCTAAAGTTGATTTTCTTGATTATTTAGGGTATAACTGTATCATCTGAAAATAATAAGAGACACACCTCCTTTCCCACAACAATAATTTCTTATTGTTGTCCTTCCATCATATACCTCTTTGGCTGAAATTTCCAGAAAAATGTTAAATGACAGCAGTGAGTTTAACCAGAACATCTCTAGCATTTTATCATTGGATTCACTTCATAAATGTTTATTTACCTAATAACAATTATAAATTATGTTTAAAACAAAACTTCTTTATCTATTGAAATACTTCATTTCCCAAACAACAAAAGGAAATTTTATTTTTTTTTTAAATATTTTTATTTATTTCTAGGAGAGAGAGAGAGACAGCGTGAGCAGCGGAGGGTCAGAGAGAGAGGGAGTCACAGACTGAAACAGGCTCCAGGCTCTGAGCTGGCAGTCAGCACAGAGCCCGACGCGGGGCTCGAACCCACGAACCGCGAGATCATGACCTAAGCGAAAGTCGGACGCTTAACCGACTAAGCCACCCAGGTGCCCCAAAAGGAAATTTTAAAAAGGAAGAATGAACACATAGATTTCTCTCAAAATTAATTAAATTGACCATCAGCATCATTCTCTCATAAAAATCACATTTTTCATATGTAAATTGATGCTTCTTTCCCATTTACGTCTTACCCACAAAACCATGCAGCTGGTACAGGATTCAAACTACAAAATTAGAACTTAGTGGTATGTGTGCAAAATCCTTTCCTGTGTTGCTTCCTCAACCTTATAATTTAAACAATTACCCTCAAATTTTCCAAATATTCCATAAGCACTGTTCAAAATGGATAGTTTTTAAAAATTAGGGGCAAATATAATTTACTCAGATACAAAGTTTTCAAAGAATCCAAATATTCAATATAAAAAAATGCTGCAAAAATTAGGATTTTTTTTTAATTTTTTAAACATTTATTTATTATTGAGAAACAGAGAGAGACTGCATGAGCATGAGAGGGGCAGAGAGAGGGGGAGACACAGAATCCAAAGCAGGATCCAGTCTCTGAGCTGTCAGCACGAAACCCAACATGGAGCTTGAACCCACAAGCGGTGAGATCATGACCTGAGCCGAAGTTGGACACTCAACCGACTAAGCCACCCAGGCGCCTCGAAAAAATTAGTTTTATATTTTATTACAGAGTAAAATTTTCTCTGATCTTAAATTACTGACTGGATAACATATATATGTTTGTTTGTTTGTTTTCATTTTTATTTTAGAGACTGAGCACAGGAGCAGGGGAGTGGGGCAGAGGGAGAGAGAGAATCTTAAGGAGGCTCCATGCTCAGCACCGAGCCTGACACAGGGCTTGATCTCATGACCCTAGGATCATGACCTGAGCTAAAATCAAGAGTCACACGCCCTACCAGCCAAACTACCCAGATGCCCCAACATATATACGGTTTAAAAGAATGAGGAAAATATACCTCAAACTCTTTTCTAAGACGTTCTTCTCGTTGGGTGCTAAATTCAAGCTCACTCGTTTGTCGCCGTAAAAGGTCAGAGCAGTCCATGTGTTCAGCTTCTAATTTCTCTACCTTCTTGTGCATATTTTGTACAGCATTATCTTGCTCCTGAAAAATAATTCATTTAAGTTTATTAGTCAACTATGACAAAAATTTATTTTATAGAAGAAGTAACTAAATCTGTGCTTTAACCACAACAGGTTAATTTATACGAGAGACCCTCAAACAACATAAGACCCTGCACTGACCCATGCACAGTCGAAAAATCTGTATATGACTTGTGACTCTGCAAAATTAAGGACCAATAGCCTACTGTTAACTGTAGTCTACTGTAGCCTTACTCATAACACAAATAGTCGATTACCCGTATTTTCTATGTTATATGTATTTACAAGGTGTTCTTAAAATACTTAACTTTTTAATTTTTTCACATATTTCTAAGAGACACAGTTCATCTCTAAGTTTTTTCAAATTGTCCAAAAGCTCCAAAAAAATTTCTAACATATTAAAAAAGAGCCACAGGTAAGTGGATGAAGTTCAAGGATCCATATTTTTCAAGGGTCTTATAGACACTGGCTCTTATAGGCAAGAGGGGTCTAGATATTCCAGCAATGTTTCAGAATATACACATGGTCAAAGCACACTACTGGAAATTTACAATTTTAAAAATCTGATTAATAAATGTTGTAGTTGAAAATGTATACAGTTCTCTATAATGTTATGCTAGTTCAATTGACCTCTGAGGTTATTTACATAATGCTGTAGTCCAACCACCATATATGTTCTCCCCCTCATTAAAATTTTAAAATATTTTGTAATACAAATGTACATTGCCCCTTTGTGTGATAAGAAATATTAGCTTGAATGCTTAATAATGACCCTTGCGAGATTTTTATGTGAGCTCACGGTACTGTAACTGTGGTCATAGCTCTTAAAGCTGCATCCACTAGGTGGCTGTGTTTCGTTTCCTTCAGCTTTCAACTTTTTAACTCTTTGCTGTATTATTGAAAGAAAGAGAACATCAGGTAGTCTTCTACCTAAATCTCTCCATCTCCTTTTCCAACTGAATTCAGAAATCAGACAGAGGTGAATTTTATGAGAGTTCAAACATAAAGTAACACACGTATCAAAGGTATTTTCCACAATAACACGTCTAGATTCATCATTCCCACTGAGGTAGATCTCTGACAAAGGCTTCTCTCCCACTTTCCCCCCACCAGCACAATCTTATTCAGACACATGTACAAGTATTTCTTATTATGATTTCAAGTATTACTAGCCACTCAAAGGGTGTCATCAGAGTCTGAGAGAAAATGTCACAAGCATCAAATACAATTCTCTATAAAAGATTCTAATTTGAAAAGCACCCAGCAGTACAGTCCACAAAGGATGAAGAACAAAACGTAATTTAATTCTTCTTTCCAAACCCCCTCATTCATGGGATTACTACTCTGTAACCAAATACACATGAACTCTTATTTTCTTCAGGTAATGGAAACGTCTTCACGTACAGAAATTCATCTACTTACATACTGTCAATCCTTAAACTATCACAGATAAAAGCAAAGCTGGATACCAGAGCAAAAGTGTGCCAGCACGGCCTGCAACTAGCAGATAGCACTCATAGTTTTGAATGATGCTCTGGATGGATTCAGGAATAAATGGGTTTATATATGGCCATATATAATCTAATTTCGTCATAACAGTACCTTCACATACGATAGTACTTTTCACACCATTAAGCATTATACTAGTCTGAGATACTATTATTATTCTGCAGGATAGGTCCCCCTCCTTCAAGCAGTCAATACTACCAGCATTAATCCAAATTCACTGTTAAATCATATGCCCTCTTGATTGACACATAATTTCTAACTTTCTATCGTCCACACAAAGTACTTTGCGTATTTTTAAATGAATAAACAACCATTTACAAGGTTAATCACAAAGTAAACCAAATAATTTGAAATAAAAACAAAAAGTAAAAAATGCTTATATCCTAGTTGATGGCAATTATTTCAAACAAAATGTATTAAATAAAGCAGAGAAACTAAAGTATTCAAGAAGTCTCATGAGATTTATTTATGAGAAAATATGCCTTGTGATTCCCATCCTATCGATAAACAGTACAGAAAGACAAAATGCAATTATTTCATTACACTAAACAAAAAGGATGTCCATCATTCCATGACAGTTTCAATTTAATACTATAAAAAGGAACAACTGGAAAATCAATGACGGATCAGTTAGGGCTTATTATATTTATTGGTGAGATTTTAACTTTATGATACTTGACCTATATTAAATGTTAAATATGTTAAAATAGCCTTTAAATAAAAGTCTTACAAGATGTAGATGAAATTCTGACCTAACAATCAGTTTTAATGCAGAGGTCAAATAGTTACTATTATGTGACAATTACAATATATTCTCGGATATGGATATAAAAACATAGTTGTTATTTTAAAAACTGCTTTCCTCATATAGTATAGATTTTAAAGGAATTCTATTTACATATCCAAGAAACTTATATTACATAGTGAAGGGGTTATATTAATTTACGATTACATTGATTAATTTTCTAAGTTAAACTCACTTGGCATTTATTGCATAAAGACTTTTATTACTATATCTGTTATATTTTGCTGCATTGAGTTGGCTAATATTTTATATAACACTTTTGTATGTATATTCATTAGTGAGACTGGCTATAATTATCTTTTCTTGCATCTTTGTCAATTTAGCATCATGATTTATCAGTTTTTGGGGGGTGCCTAGCTGGCTCAACCAGTAGGGCACATGACTCTTGACCTACGGGTCGTGAGTTCAAGCCCCACATCTAATGTGGAGCCTACTTTTAAAAAATGGGGGGCACCTGGGTGGCTTAGTTGTTGAGTTCTGACTCTTGATTTCAGCTCAGGTCATGATCCCAGGGTCATAGGATCAAGCCCTGAGTCGGGCTCTGTGCTGAGCATAGAACCTATTTAAGATTCTCTCTCTCTCTCTCTCTCTCTCTCTCTCTCTCCTCTCTCTCTGTCTCACTGTCTCTCTCTCTCTGTCTCTCTCTGTCTCTGCCCCCTCCCTTTCTCACATGCCGCTCTCTCTAAAAACTAATAAATAGGGGCACCTGGGTGGCTTAGTCAGTTAAGCATCTGACTTTGGCTCAGGTCATGATCTCACAGTTCGTGGGTTCGAGCCCTCCATCGGGCTCTGTACTAACAGCTAGCTCAGAGCCTGGAGACTGCTTCAGATTCTGTGTCTCCCTCGCTCTCTGACCCTCCCCTGCCCACACTGTCTCTCTCTCTCTCTCTCAGAAATAAATTTTAAAAAACATTTAAAATAATAAAAAATAATAAATAATAAATAAATAAATAAATGTTTGAAATGTTAAAGATTTATCAGTTTGGTATGTTATCAAGATAATTCCATTCCCTGTCAGAGTTCACTAAGACTGAAATTATTTGCTCCTTGGATGTTTCTTTTTGCTTATTGGTTAAGCAATACAGCCTGGAATTTTGACACTGGTTCTATCAGGTTTTCTACTTTCTACCTCTTGTTACGTTAGTTGGGGCAGGCAGGAGAATTCTATACGTATCCATTCCAAGTACCCAGCCAGGCAACCCTACAGTGAAGATCACAGCTCAAAGAGCAAACACAAACACTCAGAGTTTCTAATAAGCACTTTTGTCCCCAACTCTTAAACATAAGAAAAAGCAATATTTGGGAGGAAATACCAACGTAAAGATGAAATCTAAATCAAGGAGAAAGGGGAAAAAACAACCTGAGAGAAACACATATAAAGAGGATAAAACCTGACAGTAACTTCAGAGAATAGAAATAATTTCAGAATGGCAGAGTAAGGACTGACAAAAATTCTTTCCTCCATAAAAGCAGCAAGAACACGGAAGAAAAAATGCCAAAATCAAATTTCTCATAACTGGAAATTAACCATAGGCTTGCAATAATCCAATAAACACTTATTCAAGAAAATCAGTGGAATCTCTGTAAGAAGGGCAAGGTTTGGGGCATCTGGGGGGCTCGGTTGGTTGAGTGTCCAACTCTCGGTTTTGGTCCCAGTCATGATCTCACAGTCATGGGATCGAGCTCCAAGTCGGGCTCTGTGTTGACAGCACAGAGCCTGCTTCAGATTCTCTCTCTCCCTCACTCTCTGCTCGTCCCCAGCACACTCTCCCTCTCTCTCAAAGTAAATAAATATTTTTTTAATTCTTAGATAATGTAACTTATTGCTCATCTGTTCTTAATTTTGAAACAAGTATGACAAACACGTGATCTAAATGGTAAATACTAGTTATAGCAATGGTATTGGTAGGTTATACTGGGTAGTGGTTATATTAATCCCTGTTATTTTTTGTATGTTCAAATATTTGTTTTTAAGTTTATGGTGTTATCAACACAATCCAAGGCTGGGATGCATTGTAACATAGAAGAAAATTCCAAAAGAGCTATAAAATAGTTCATGCATTTATATATCAAGATTAATTTGCCTCCTTTCAAATAAATTTTTAAAACTTTTGTCACAGACCTTATTTTCCAATAAAACAAAAAGCTACCTGGATCCTTACAGTGAAAAAGTACATGCAGTTTGTGTGGGGGTGTGTGTGTGTAACCAAATCGTACTAAGGACAATGGAAATTAAAGGAATTTTTCTTACTTCCACTAGAGGGAGGTGTTGAACTTAAAATATTTTTAAATGAGGCTTATTTTTGAACTGACATTTACAATCCCAGGAAATCACATTGTTCTATTAGAAAATAAACTTGCCTTCTTTCCACATTTTTCAGAAACATAGCCCAAAAAGTATAATTTTTATATGTACTCATATAAACATTTCTCAGACTCCAAAATACAGCTTCAAGCCTGAAGAATTATGAGTTTAGTTAGAAATGTACTGGAGGAAAAAAACAAACTTATCAGAGCTAGAATATCCCTCCTTCTTACCTTATGAAATATATCAATTTAGCTATTACCACCTTAATCTAATAATGCTTATCTCCTAAAAGACCCAGAACAAGCTGTTCTTCCTTAAATTCCCAAAGCCAGCACAGTTCTACAATCAGAAATAGTGTTTGCAGCCGTAGAGTATAAAACGGTACTAACTTTGTGTAATACTTATCATAATTTAAATCCATAAACTTGCAGACCAACCAGTGATACCTCTAGGCATTTACACAGTTCAATCACTTATACAACAGCTCAAAGGTATGGCCACGAATGTTAGTGAATCATTTTTTTCTTTTTCTTTTTAATTTTCTATTTTTTTTAAGTAAGCTCTATGCCCAACGCAGGGCTTGAACTCACAACCCCAAGACAAAGAGCTGCATGCTTTACCAACTGAGCCAAGCAGGTGCTCCAAATCATTTTTTTAATGTTTATTTATTTTTGAGAGAGTGAATGCACACAAGTAGGGGAGGGGCAGACAGAGGGGAACAGAGAACCCAAAGTAGGTTCCACACTGACAGCAGACAGCCCAACGTGTGGCTCGAACTCATGAACCTCGAGATCATGACCCTAGTCAAAGTCGAACACTTAACCAACTGAGCTATCCAGCAACCCTCCCAACTCATTTTTAACTAGAGCAAAAAATTTTTGAAGGAAATTAAATGTCTATCAATAAGGGATTGCTTAATATTTATTAGGAATGTCCACATGGCAGAAAACCATGCAAACACCTGTAAGAATAACATAAGGATATCAAAAAACAGACATACTGAAGAATATAATTCTATTTATGTAATTCAATGATGAATGTTTGTATACCCTCAGATAAGGAGTGGGATGCAAGGGGGGGGGGTCTTAAGACCTTCACTTTTGCTTTTAAATCTCCCTAAATTAGGGCATTTTTACAGTGAGCACACTATATAGTAATTTTATAAACTAAATATAAGACATTTCCTGTTTGAAAACAACAGGCAGTATCAGCTTCAGAGTCACTGTCTATGCCATGTGCTTACACAGGGCCCCAGTGGGCAGTTTCCTAGGAAACTGCAAAGACATGCTCCTTGCTGGTCTAGATCCTCGCAGGCAAACTTCTGAAATGCTTCCTGTCCATGGAGCTTTCTCCAAGCTACCCCTAGATCACAGTCGTGCCTACCAGGTCAATCTTTACACATTGTCCTCCAGTCCCTAACGTGCAGCTAGCTGATGCCCAAGTGTGCTCTGATATCTTCCTTTACCGCTCCCCTCTCTTCCTCCCCTGTCTTTACTGTACGAAATAATTTTCATTCGACATTTCTCATGCTCTTTGCCATTACAAACTCTTCTACCCCTTAGTCACTATATCCACAAACCAAATTTAGTCAGCAGAGGAAGAAAGGATCATTTCATTCATTGGTTGAGTTACAGAATTTGGGAAACAAAATAAATATGAAAAAAATATATGTTCATCTTCTAAATGCTTTCAATCCTACCAATAACTTCTTTATTGAAATGAACTGGGAAAATGACAAAGGAAAGGGCATGGTGCTATAACACAACCCTTTACTGCTGCATGTCCCACACTGTCTATAACAGAAAAGCTTCGAACAAATCACTAGCCTCAAAGTTCACATTGCTATAGCAGGAACAAAGAAAAGCTAATAAAAACACAACAAATGGCCATTTTAAATTAAAATTTTTGATAAAGATAAAAAAGAATATATTTGAAAATCAATATTAATACTTTGTCTTTAAATTAAATTGGCTTGGATTTGTTGCTTTAATGGGAGCTTTTTACCTTTGATTTGTTCTGAAATTTTAAATAATGCTAAAGAAAGATGTGTTTTTATGTTTATCAAAAAAAGGGCGTGCATTTAAAAAAATGAGAAGCACTTTTTTAAATGAGGTAACTGTACTAGAGTTCCCATTAATATTCCAGAGAAGTAACCTCTATTTAGCGTTTCAATTACTAGGAAAGAAAGGAGACATGGCATAAAATTAAGATTTTTTTTTTTATAGCGGGTCTGAATTCTAAAGCCCAGATGAAAGAAATACTACACCTGCTTTGTCTGTTAAAGATGGGGTTTCACTTAGAAGGGTTTTTTTAAACGTGTTTTAAAAACCGAATTCCCTTAGAGAGTTACACAAAGAGAACACTATACCATACTAACATCTAATTATAGGATGGAAACCTAAACCCATCAACAGCCAATAGGAAGAGAAGAGAATTTCAATCTATCCCACAAGTTGTTTAAAAAAAGACTTTGAAAAATATGAATAGTTTCTTAAATCAGCTTTAAAAAGGAAAGACAGTTTTCTTTTGTTAATGTTAAAAGGACAAGGAAGTGAGAGACTAAGCTCTGAACATTTTGGTTATAAAATACAGTAAATTTTATCTTATGCCAACATTATACTACATGTTAACTAACTGGCATTTAAATAAAAACTTTAAAAAATATACCTTACAAAAGGTGGTAGTAACTAGGAGTATATTCCCTATTCTTTCTCATACATAATAATTAAAGACTGATACAGGGGCTCCTGGCTGGCTCAGTCAGTGGAGTATGTGATCTAGAGGTTGTGAGTTTGAGCCCCATGTTGGCTATAGAGATTACTTAAAAGAGATAATAAAATCTTTAAAAAAAAAAAAAAAAAGCTGATACCGTATTCCTTTAGCACTTCATAATATAAAGTCTGGTATAACCACATACATTTCATTGACCTAGACACCGCATCTAAATCACATCATCCACACATTTAAAGGTCTCTAAATCGTATTTGATAAATTTCAGACTACTGACTGGGGACACTGGAGACTTCTGACTAGTTAGAAATGAAGAGATTATTTGCATTTACTAATGTTTACTTGTTTGTTTTAGGTAGCCTTTAACATAATTAACAACAGTTTAAATATCATCTGCTCCGTGATGGTTTCCCTAGTCTCCTGGGCAGTTAATACATTTCTCTTTGATGATCCCATAGAATATTTTCAAAATTTTATTTCTCTCTTTACATGTCTCTCTGTTTTAAAATCTTCTAGGACAGAAATCATATCTCAATTTTGTATCCTCAGTACCCATAGCAGAAACTCAGTATGTACTTAGGGAATGAATGAATTAATGAATTAATGAACGAACGAATGAATGAACCAATGAAAGAACAAACTTCACAAATTACAATCAGACTCTAAGAATACCAAGAGGTCTGCAGAGTGATTGCAGTGTCTTCCCAGAATCTACAGAGGGAGTAACTGTAAGAAAAGCATTGCCAAAGACCAAAGGTTTCAGTATTTGTTGGTATTTTGAAAACTTACATATAGAACAAATCCAGTATTCCCACTGTTTACTGTCAGCTTTCACTCAAAGAAATAAGGGGGCTCTTATTCTCTGCATGTTTTTGGCTGCCTTTGTCCTGCACAGTTGTTTCTAACATAAAACTACTCCAAAATTTTTAGACGGATATTTTCATTCCGTGAAGAATGCATATCTTGGACATCTACGAGAATAGATTTCAACTTGTTGTTTTATATAGAAAAAATGCCTTATGCAAAATAAATAAAGAAATGATGAAAATCTCTTTTAAATTTTAATTAACAGTTTGAATTTATCTTATCTTTCCTTCAAAATAATTTATATATCATCTCCTGAAATAAAATGCAAAGTACCCCAGAGTGAGAATCTGGTGACTGGTTGCCTTTCCCCACATGAATTACTCAGTCTACGATCTCAGGAAATCATAAATCTCCATCTGCTCATCTACAATGAGGGTTGGATGTAATCAGTTATTTTCCAACTGGACTATTTGAAACCTTGCATATTCTGTGTGTTGGAAGAAAGGGGTAATCAAACATAATTAAGAGTTTGCTCTTCTTATAAAGCAAAAAAAAAAAAAAAAAAGAATTTGCTCTTCTTAACAAAAGAGTTGAAAAATCACTGTTATGTTAATGTATAAGCATCCTTTAATATCTAAAATCCAATTATTCTATTTCTTTATGCTATTAAAGTGAGCCATCTCATATTTTAAATTGGAAAAATAAAATACCAATTGTATACATATGGCCTTCTCAAAATCACATTATTTGTGCAGTGAAGTCACCCAACTCTAATTCTGATAGTATCTGCTGGTAACATCTATCCATATTGTCAGGTAACTACAAATGAAATATGGCCTTCCAGAAATCGAAGACTAGGACCATTTTTGCATTGAGTAAGCTAGTCAACTATTGCACTAATGTAATTTTTAAAATAAGCATTAAAAAGATATATTTAAGGAACTGAATTATTATTTTTTAAATACCTGTACTATAAATTGTAACTCTCTTCTTTCTGCTTCCCATTGTTCTGCTTGTAATCTAAACTCGTCCAATGCTGTCTCCCTGATATGAGACTCCATCTCATTCTTCTCCTGCTGATGTTTTTCCAACGCTTCCTTTATATGAATAAAATCTTGCTTTACTATTAGATCAATGAAAGTCATCTTTCTTCCTTCAGCCCCAATTTAAGCATATAAAGGGTTCTCCTTACCTATAAACTGCTAAAACTCATTATAATTTATGTTAAAATTATTAATAGAACTATATCATATTTTGACCATCAGAATGTAGATGTGAATAAGAAACTGTGGTTATCCATTTAACTTAAGCAACATTAGAGACAGAGAAAGATAGAAAGAGAGAGAGGCATATATTTAACCTAATTTCTCTAAAAAATTTAACTTCAGCAGTTTGAACAAAATGATATGATAAAGAAACAAAAAGTAGATTATATGTAATCTATATGTAAATCCATATGTAAAGTAGATAACATGTAAAGTTCTTATTACCTGTGAACAAACTGGATTATTCCTGATCATGTACATATAAATCTGACAGAGACCTCTATTTACCAAAGGCAGGAAGGAAGGAGTTTTGTGGAACAAATCAGAATGTTAAAAATTTGAAAAGTCAAAAAAAAATATTTTCAAGGTTTGGACTGTAACTAATTTCTAGTTCTACAGATAATATTTGCAAAAGGTTTTTCTTTTGTGTTTCCTAATTGTACTACATTTATAAGATCTAATTTGGTTCCAACTCTAAAAATATAAAATGCAGGTTCCCCAAGAAGCCCAATTTTCTAATCTATAGGGTTTAAAACTAAGTTCCCATTAACACAAGGAGAAAGAGTCTGTGGTTTATTTGAGAAGGGGGGAAAGCCTTCTGTGTCCGAATAAATAATAGAAGCGATCTGCATAATAAAGATTACCCTTATAACTTTCACTAATGGAAAGCCGTCACAAAGGGCCTTGAGCTTTTTCCCCTTTGGGTGAAATAGTGTGACTCCTATTCAATCCCTAATTTCCCCAAAGTCTGTGCACATCAGTTCAAAGCCAATAGCATAAAATTTAAACCGAGTTCTCCCATCAAGTAGCTGGGCAAGCTCACAGAAAGAGCTTCTAATTTGAGGTGCAGGCTGACTGACTCTTAAGGAAGGCGACTGCCATTACGTTTCTTTCCACGTAGCTGCAAGATGTTCTTCGTGGGGAAGGCCATACAGGGCCACCCGGGGACGTGGAACACCTGTAACCACACAAACTCCCCCGCAGCCAGCTACTAAGGGGACCCTTGAACATACCAAGCACTATTCTAGGGTCTCAGAACATACCACGAAGACAAGAGACAAACTGTGTATGACATGGAGAAAATCAGAAGATCTGCCGACAATGAACCTTTGTACTGAAACTTTTATGTTGAGTAAATGCTTATGTAAAATTACTTTTAATAAAGATTTCTAGAATTCTAAAGAGCCATTTATGCCAGTGGTAAATATAAAGCATTTCTATAATGTTTTTTTTTTTAAATTTAAACTTCAAGCTTCAAAAATCATGGCAAATACAGGCAATTAAAAATCTATCTTTTAAGGGGTAGGCAAAATCAATCAAATCATACTTTTACCTTAGAGAGTTAAAAAAAGAACAAAAAATGGGAAAATAAATAGCTCAGTAAAAGGTCATCAAATATTTGTCATGTCATGTCTAAGTAGAATGTGCCCTACATAGATAATGAAGTTTACATCAGATATATAAATATTTTTTGTATCTATTGTATATTCAGACCTAAATCCACAGCCCACATTTCAAACCTTCTAAATTTTCATGCTACTGGACCTAAAGGGCTACAGGTTCTCATCTTCTTATAATCCTACATAAATTGAGCTTTTTTAGTTTGATCAGAGATCTGAAACTGTTTTCACAAAAGAAACAGTATACATATTAATATATTGCTCAAGCATATTACAGAAGAGACCCATAAAAATGCTCCTGAAAGGAAAAAGAGGGAAAAGGAAAGGGTGGGTAAGAGGAAAGCAGATTTTCTTGATATGTGGTAGTTATTTTCCTTTCCAAGGACAACTTCAAATAATGTGTAACACATCTCAATGAATATAGAAAAATTCCTTTATAAAAATAAGTTACCTGTAGAGTTTTCTCTAGTCTGCTTTTTTCTTTCATAAGTAAATCATGTTCTTGATTGCAATTTTGAATTATATTGTCTCTTTCCTCCAAGTCACGTTCAAATCTTCTGCATTCTTCTTTCCAGTTCAGCTGGGAAGTCTGGAATGCCTTCTCGATCTCACTTGCCTTTCCTTGAAGTTCTGCATTCTGAGCTATTAAAAATATAAAAGAATAATAGGTATATTTAACAGCCACAGACTACATCCCTAGGAGTTCAAACACCTAGATGTTGGAGTTGATTTCATTACAGCATGATCTTAGGACAAAAGATTTAACCACTTCACGTCAATAAACTCTAAAAAAGCTCACTGTTTCAGAACAATCTATTCTCTGATTTCCTAATCTCTTCTTCCCTTCCAGACAACAGTGATTTTGCCATGAAATAGTATGACATATTCCTTTTTCTTTCTTTTTTTTTTTTTTAAGAGAGAGTGAGGGTACAAGTGAGTGAGAGAGAGAAGGGGAGAGAGAGAGAAGCGGGACTCACATGAAGCGGTGCTCAAACGCACAAACCGTCAGATCATGACCTGAGCCGAAGTCAGATACTTAACTGACTGAGCCACTCAGGCGCTGAAGAATGACATATTTCTAGAAGCATGCCCAAGTTTAGGTGTACCTATAGCACCAGCTGCATTCTACTACTTTTTCTCTTATTCAAGAAAATAAGTCAAATGTTGTAGGGTTTTTGGTGGGGCACCTTGTTGGCTAGTCACTGGAGCATACGACTCTTGATCTCAGGGTCCAAGTCCCATGGTGAGTGTAGACATTACTTAAATAAATAAATAAATCTTTTAAGAAAAAAAATGTGGGTTTGGGGTGCCTGGGTGGCTTAGTCGATTAAGCATCTGACTCTTGATTTCAACTGAGGTCATGATCTCATGAAAAAGAAAAATAATTTTAAATCTCATTAATGGCTATTCTTCTATCTACCTCTGTAAAGTGTCTGTTGAAATTACTTGACATCAGGAAAATAACATCTCACCTTCTCTGGACTTCATCTCCTCATAATTAAATCAGCGTCATTAACTTGTATATCTAGTGCCTTTCAATTCTTACTTTCTTAAGTTGCAGGTAGTGGTGTGGTTATTAAATGCCAGAGGTAATCAAAAATACTTCTGACCAGGGGCGCCTGAGTGGCTCAGTCGGTCGAGCGTCCAACTTCGGCTCAGGTCATAATCTCGCAGTTCGTGGGTTCGAGCCCTGTGTCTGACAGCCAACTCAGAGCCTGAAGCCTGTTTCAGATTCTGTATCTCTCTCTTTCTCTGACCCTCCCCTGCTCACGCTGTCTCTCTCTCAGAAATAAATAAAACATTAAAAAAAAAAAAACACTTCTGACCAATGGCAATAACCCAAGACAGCTGGCCACAGTTAGGTACCAGAGCCTTTTGAAGAACTACAGCTTAACATTTGTTTAGTCCCATGTGGTTAGTAAAGCACTTTCATCTTTTTCATTTCATCCTTAAAACAACCTAAATTCAAATATCAGTAAGTAAGTGGTAAAACCAGAAACTAAATCTAAATCTTCTGAATTCATGCTCAAGATTCTCTTAATTAAGACTTGCTACCTACAAGAAAGTTCACAGCAACATTGGGACACCTAGCTGTCTCAGTCAGTGGAGCATGTAACTCTTGATCTCAGGGTTGTGAGTATGGGCCCCACGTTGGGTGTAGAGATTACTTAATACGATCTTTAAAAAAAAAAAAAAAAAAAAAGAATGTTCATAGAAACATTATTCTTTTTTTTTTTAATGTTTTTTATTTATTTCTAGAAGAGAGAGAGAGAGACAGCATGAGCAGGGGAGGGTCAGAGAGAGACAGGGAGTCACAGACTGAAACAGGCTCCAGGCTCTGAGCTGGCAGTCAGCACAGAGCCCGATGCGGGGCTCAAACCCACGAACCGCAAGATCATGACCTAAGCAAAAGTCGGACGCTTTAACCGACTAAGCCACCCAGGCGCCCCCATAGAAACATTATTCTTGATAACCAAAAACTGGACATGACTCAAGTGCCCATTAACAGAAATGGATACATAAATGTGGTATGTCATACAATATACTATTAAGCATTCACACAATGTTCATATAACAATATGAATAAACTCACACACACAATGTTGAAGGAAAAAAGCCAGATATAAAAGAGTACACACTATATGATTCCATTTAATACGAAGTACAAAAAAGAGGCACAATTTATCCTTACTATTAAAAATCAGGGTAGTAGGGGCACCTGGGGTGGCTCAATCAGCTAAGCATCTGACTTTGGCTCAGGTCATGATCTCAGTTTGTGGGTTCAAGCCCCACGTCAGGCTCTGTGCTGACAGCTCAGAACCTGGAGTCTGCTTTGGATTCTGTGTCTCCCTCTCTCTCTCGGCCCCCTCCCCGCTCACGTCTGTGTATCTCTCTCTCTCAAAATTAAACATTTTTTACAAATTTTTAATAAAAAAATAAAAATCAGGGTAGTAGGGGCACCTGGGTGACTCAGGGTTCAGCAGCCAACTTTTGATCTTGGCTCAGGTCATGATCTGACAGTTTGTGAGTTTGAGCCCCACTGTGTTAATGGCCCGAAGCCTGCTTGGGATTCTGTCTCTCCTTCTTTCTGCCCCTCCCCAACTTGTGCTCTCTCTCTCTCTCCAAATAAATGAAAAAACTTAAAAAGAAAAAAATCAGGGTAGTAGTTATCCATGTGGAAGGACTTCTGGTAATTTTCCATTCCATGATATGGGTGCTTCTTCTGAGTTATACACTTATATTAGGCACATTTCTTTACGTATACTATACATAAATGAAAAGACTTTTAAGTGTTCATATGCTATATAACAGTATTTGAGGATTAAATCCACTACCTTTTTCTTCTCTAGGCACCACACTCTAACCCATGGTTCCCAAACCTTGCTAATCAACAGAATCACTCGCAGTACTTCTTGAACACATAGATTCTCTTGAGCTAGAAATTCTAACTCAGATTACATGTGATAGGGGGGCCTAAGATTTTTTTTTTGAGCTCTCTCTATGTGATTCTGCTGATTGACCATTCATGGAATAACTGCTCTACAAAGTGATTAACAGAATTTTGAATCCCTTTTTCCATACATATACAACATAAAAAAAAAATCAGTGTAAAATAGGTGAATGTTCACATAACTGTAGAAGACTTGATACCCACACAGCAAAATCTGTCTATCAAAGGCCAAAGATCAAACCCCACCTCTGACCCTACATGGTAAACATACCCAACAGGGAGCAATGATATACAATAAGGGTAAAACCTGAAACATGGGGAAAAATAAAACTAGTCTTACCACAGAGTTTTTCTTGGATCCTCTGTGCCTCAGCTAACCTTTCTTCAGCAGCCCGTCTTCCGAGACCAGCTTCCTTTCTAGCCACAGCCAGGTCATATTCCAGACTTTGTCGCAATGCCTCTCCTTTTTCAACCTCGGATCGCAGCTTGGCAATCTGGCTCTCATAGCTTGCCAGCTAACAACAGATTTTGAGATCATGAACCAATATTAAAATATGTCACCAAGATGATGAGATCATGCATGCAAACATTTAAATGTCTTAGAGAAATTTGTTTCTATAATATTTATAAGACAAGAATTTATAAATTTATACTTTTCTAAAAGATTGGAAAAGAAGTACTAGCCTCACCAAATGACACTCATTAGTTTTCTACTTCTAGAGAATCTCTTATAGGAAAAAATTAAAACAATAAATTCTTGTATGATCTTATACAAATAAAGAGAAATCACAAGTGTTTGTTTGCTTGTTTTTATTTTTTAAGTAGGCTCTATGCCCAATTTGGGACTTGAACTCACAACCCCGAGATCAAGACTCATATCTGAGCAATCCAGGCACCCCTGAATCGCTGCAAGTTTTCATCTGAAATAGTCATTACTAAGGAGTGAAAAAAATGCATGGCACATAGTAAGTACTTTAAAATGCATTCTCCCCTCTCTTCTTCCTATTCTTTAAATGAAATCAAGAACCAAATTACATCAGGGTACCTGGGTCGTTCGGTCAGTTAAGTGTCCAATTCTTGATTTTTGGCTCAGGTCATGATCTCACAGTTCATGAAATTGTGCCTCGAGTCAGGATGTGAGCTCACAGTACAGAGCCTGCTTGGGATCCTCTCTCTCTCTCTCTCTCTTTCTCTTTCTCTCTGTCTTCCTCTCTCTGCTCTTCCCCACTTGCACTCTCTCTCAAAATAAGTAAACATATTTTTTAAAGAAGCAAATTGCATCAAAGTGTACTTTAGTAAATACTGTCTATATTATTTCTCTTGATTATGACATTACTGATGGACCATGAAGTAATAAAAGTGCCAATTTTTCAGGGATATTAATGAACTAATTTCTCATTTATCTAATATCTAGACGACTAGATATTTAATAACTAGGTCTAATCTATCTAACATACTTCCATAAGTAGTGTGACAGAAGATAGATCAGAGAGTCAGAACTAAATTATTTATAAGGTGCATTCCCACTCTAAAATTCTATATCCAATCAATGATTCATTAAATACTTCTTAGGTGTCAAGTACAGAAAAACATATTAAAACAAACATTATGGAGTCCCTGATCTCAAGTAATGAAATGCTATAGAAAGGCATGTGGGATAAGTTTTATAAAAGAAGTAAAAATGTCGTGTGATAGTTCAAAGAAAAGCAAAATTATTTACTGCTGACAAGAAAGAGATGGTGGATGTGAGGCAAAGCTAGAAAGGCATCATGTAGGAAAGCATTGAGCTACTATATCAGGCTAGAAAAAGACCGTCCCATTAGCAGATAAGAAAAGACAAAAGAATTTCATAAACACAGCATCAGAAATTACCATTGAGTAGGAGCACCTAGGTGGCTCAGTCGGTTAAGCTTTAGACTTTGGCTCAGGTTATGATCTTATGGTTCATGAGTTCAACCCCATGTCGGGCTCTGTGCTGACAGCTCAGAGCCTAGAGTCTGCTTCAAGGATTCTGTCTCTCCCTCTCTCTCTGCCCCTCCCCCACTCATACTATGTCTCTCTCTCAAAAATAAATTTTTAAAATTTTTTTTAAAAAAGAAATTACCATAAGTAGTACAGCAAGAGTTATACATTTTTCCACATATAATTTAAAAATACTAATTTTATTTTTAAGAAATTTGAGAAAAGCAAATGTCTTCAAAACACACTTACAAAACAAGAATTTACAAATATCCTTTAATAGTGAAGAATAAAACCACAGAATCTTAATTACATATTCAGGATAACTCACTTTGCTTCAGAATCACTCCATCCCTCCCTGCCCACTGTCTCCCCCACTAACACCCAATAAGAATGAAATTAACATTTGGGCATTTCCAGTTGTGCCAGTCATTCACCTGTTTGCCCTCAGATGCCCTCCCTGTTCTTCTACAGCCCGACTCTGTATTGTAGGAACTACATTTCCCAGGGTCTCTTGACAACTGGCCTCTCTGCTTTGGCCAATACGAAGCACCTGTGATATACTGTGAAGCCAAGGAAGTTCTCCGCTCGGGATCTCCCTCCAGCAGCGTCTCTGTCTTCCCTGTTGCTTCAGATCCTTCTGGATAGTCCCTACTATCAACGAAGACCTCTTTGCAGGTAGAAACGGGATACTTTTGCAGTGACCCATGTCATAGAGTGGGATCACAATTTGTTAAACTATCACGTGCAGTTAAGAATAAAATGCCATTTGGGGCGCCTGGGTGGCTCAGTCAGTTAAGCTTCGGACTTTGGCTCAGGTCATGATCTCACGGTTGGTGGGTTCCAGTCACGTGTCGGGCTCTGTGCTGACAGCTCAGAGCCTGGAGCCTGTTTCAGATTCTGTGTCTCCCTCTCTCTCTGCCTCTCCCCCACTCGTGCTCTGTCTGTCTCAAAAATAAACTATAAAAAAAAAAAAAGAATAAAATGCCATTTGAGGACAAGCCTTGAAGAAATGAAGGAGCCATGTGCCTAAACATTAGGGCAGCATTGTTTATTTCAAGACCTGTAGAGTGGGAAGGCTAACTGCGACTGTGATGGAAAACTTATAAAAGCAAAATGATAATCTCAGAGATTTAGAAGCTCAGCTCAAACAGTCAGAAAGCCAGAGTTTCTATGCTGACTTTAAAAGAATCCCTTACATCTTGTAGCCCCACAGCAGACAAGGCTAAGGACCACACACAAAATCTAATCATGGGGGATGCAGAATTACATTACAAGTTGAATGGAGAGTTTCACCAAGTTTCTAATGTTAAGATAGTATGCATCAGTTGGGCATTAAGTAGGAAGGTAGGAGATGGGATGAGGACTTCTGGAATTAGACATATCTTAAAATTATAAACTTCCAAACCCCCTCTAAACATCCCTTACCAGCAAAAGCAGCTTCTCCTCCCTGAGACAATTAGCCTTGCTTAATATTATTAAGCCTCTTGCTTCAGGACTTACTAATGAGTGCACCTGAAACAGTTGCCTTGCAAGAGGATTTGCAAAGACCCATATCCGCCACTCTTTGTCACCACAGATAGACTCAGATCTTAGTGTGCCCCAGGAGAAGAAATATATACAGCCTACTCCAGGAGAAATAGCTTATGTAGCAAAACAAATGCAAGATCTCACTAATCTTGTATCACCAGGAATGTGCAGAACATACATAGGACTGCCTTGGACTTAAGAAGCTTGTTCTAACAGTTTACTAGGATGGGTGACTGTAAACTGAATTCAACACGAGCCTACAATCGCTTAATAAAGTGAAAATGCCAGTACTTTACTAACATAACACGGAGACTTAAGGAGATGGGCGTGATTTTCTTGTGAACAAACCTTTTCCCCAACTACATCCTCTTCAAGAGTTCAAAGGATAGGCTTTTCCTAATTAAAATGCTATAAAATGCCCTGGAGGGGACAACATAAGCATCCTTAGAAAGTTCTGGTGGCTAATCTCTATATGCCAGAGATTATAGGAGATGGTGGAATACATCACAGTTGAGATGGACTCCCCAGTTTCCATCAAAATAATGGAATTCCAGAGTGGCGAAGTCCAGGTGGTAGCAATTAACCAGCTCAGCACCCAGTAGGTACCAAGAGTATAGTAGTAAGCATAGCAGTTCTGACCCCAAGGAGTTGTGGTGCGATCTAACTGATTATGGCATACATAGGAATTAAAGAGATGGGCAACCTTCTAAAACAGTGCTATCCAATAGAAATATAGGCGAGTCTCATGTGTAACTTTACATTTTCTTATGCCAGTATTCTAAAAAGTAAAAATAAATACATGAAATTAATTTTAATCTTTTATTTAACCCAATGCATCCAAGACTATCATTATTTCAACATGGAACCCTACAAAAAATGATTAGTGAAATGTTTTGCATTTTTTGTACCAAGTTTTTGAAATCTAGTATTTTACATTTACAGCACATCTTAATTCAGGCTAGTCACAGGTCAAGTGCTCAAAAGACACATGTAGCTAATGCCTACCATATTGCAGAAGCAGTTCTAAAGCGTTATTTGATCTAATTTAGCAAAACAAAGAACAGCACAAAAAACAGAAAAGATCTAAGTCTAGTGAGCAGAAGCCTAACTTGAGCCTCTGAAATATAAAGTCATCCTGCCCCATCACTGTAACCTTAGGACCATCTCTAAGAATAAGAACTGTAGCTGCTTCGAAAAATTTGTTATATATATACATATATATAAAAAAAACAAATAGTGACCTTTTTCTTTGCCCCTCCTCTCTGGGATCATATGAAGAATGTTGGTAGTGATAACTTTTCAGTTAAATTCATGAGGCACCAAATTATAAAGACCCGACAGTGAGGATATGTACCATTTGTGAGATGGACACAATAACCAATAAGCCTTTGGCTCATTGTGGCGAGGGTGGGAGCATCTTCGTATAAAGGATATTTGAGTTGCAACCTGCAAGATACTACCGTATGGGAGTTACATATGAGTACAAAGGTGATAAGGCTGAAGCATAAGATATGGACTGCCAATCATTTGCCCATTTGATCTCAGGTCCATTCCCCAACCCCCTTCATCCGCTCTACTCTATTATATGATTCCCATGCTCCATTGCCAAATATCTACTTCCAGCAGCATCTCTGACAGTATCTGCATCTCTTTTGAGGTCCATCTCTCCATCCCTTCATTCCAACACCCCAACGCTGAGCAGCCCTTACCATGGCTCTACTTCCCACCAGACAGCCCCAACTTCAGGACTCTGGTCACATCACTTCTTCCTGTTGGCCCTCTGGCCTAGAGGAGGTGGCGGTTTCCTGCTGTTACTAATCTGAGTGGCCTCATCATTCCATATTTGGATTCCTAGGTCTTCCAACACTTGTACAACCAATTCCTTCTATTAATGCCCCTCTTTTTTTCCTGACTGGACCATATTTGATTTCTTCAGCTACCCAAACAGCTGATAGAAACATAGCCTCTGCCCATGAGATTGTTTTCTCACTTAAGCTTCAACACATGCAACAGCCACAAAATGGTATCTCCCTCTTCTTAAAACATATCTGCGTTCTTGAACATCTTTACGTTCAACCAGTTATGTCATCCCCCGTATCTACCTTTATGCCCTCTAGAGCCTGTCTCAGCCTCTAAAAGAAAGGTTTTTCACAAACTTTATGCCATGGCCCTCCTTGCAGTCTGGCAAAGCCTTCTCAAAGCAATGTAACTAAATGCATAAAATAAACCACACAGGACTCAAGAAGAATCAAAGTATAAAAACAAATATATAAGAAAAGCAAACTTGGGATGCCATCACACACTTCTTTAATCACACACTAAACAACAAGCTCTACTTACAGGTCTAACAACCACTGTCATTTCAAAGTAGTGGCAAGTATAAACAATATTTGGAAATACTTGCAATAATTGAATTGTATATCTGTGGCTTCTAGTGAGGATAAAGTCAAAAGTACTGCTAATTCTACTATGGCTTGTTAAAGGAGGGCTAACCAGGCTATGTCTTTCATAACTGAAAGAAATGTTTAATATGAGTTAGAGGGTAATAAACATCAAATATAATTTTTTATTTTTAGGGGCGCCTGGGTGGCTCAGTTGACTTTAAGAGTCCAACTTCAGCTCAGGTCATGATCTCACAGTTTGTGGGTTCGAGACCCACATCAGGCTCTGTGCTGACAGCTCAGAGCCTGGAGCCTGCTTCGGATTCTGTATCTCCCTCTCACTCTAACCCTCCCCTGCTCATGCTCACTCGCTCTCTCTATCTCTCTCTCTCTCTCAGAAATAAATAAAACATTTAAAAAAATTTTTTTAATAAAACGTCTTCTTTAATTTTATTTTTAATAAAATTAATTAATAAAATCCATCCAAGTACATGGATTTCTTAATGTCTCTATTTCTTAATGTCTCTATCTCGGCTTAGGAACCCCTACTCTTAATGGAATTGGCTGGATCAAACAAGATCTTCAGGTCCTGAGACCTAAAAAGTCTACTGTTTTGTCAGTCCTAAGTTCCCAGAGCCTTTTGGCTAAAGAAAATTATATTGCTCTTTTTATCCTCTCCCATTCTCATTTCTCTAGATTTTCCTGCTCTACCATCATCACCATCTGGGCCAAGGAAATATCTAAACAGCTTCATGCTTGCATATCCTATTTCACACATCTGTATTTCTGTGCTCAAATGATTCTGACAACCACTGCAACACCGAAAATCTTGTGCCATTGTCCCATCCCAATCATCCACATCCGTGCAATGTAGTCTCATCTGGAAGTATTGAGTCTTACAAGCAATCCTGAGTCTTACAAGCAATCCCCCTCTCCATACCCGCTGCCTACTAATAAATCTCAACAGTAATCTGTTCTTTCCATACCTATTAAAGAAAACTGAGGCTCAGAAAAATCAAATAACTCATCCAAGAACTCACAACAATAAAATTCCTAGAGATTTTAAAGATATGTATTTTATTTTATTTCTATTGAGATATAATTGATATATAATATTATATTAGTTTCTGGTTTACAACATAATTTCATATTTTGTGTGTATGGCAAAATGGTCATCACAATAAGTCTAGTTAACATCTGTCACTGGACATAATTATACATATTTTTCTTGTTATGAGAACTTTTAAGATTCCCTGTCTTAACAGTTTTAAATACACAATATAGTATTATTAACTATAATCACCATGCTGTATATTACAACCCCATGACTTATTTCTTTTATAATTGGAAGTTTGTACCTTTTGACCCCCTTCACTCATTTTGCTCACACCCCACACTGCACCTCTGACAATGACCAATTTGTTCTCTGTATCTATGAGCTTGGTTTTTGGTTTTTGTTTTTAGATTCCACATATGAGATCATACTGTATTTGTCTCTCTTTGTCTGACAATTTTTTCATTTAGCATAATGCCCTCAAAATCCAGCCATGTTATCACAAGTGGCAAGATTTCATTCTTATTTATGGCTGAATAATATTCCTCTGTGTGTGTGTGTCTGTGGTGTGTGTGTGTGTGTGTGTGTGTGTGTGTATACACATGCATTTTCTATATCCATTCATCCACTAATGGACATAGACTTTTTTTTAAGATTTTTATTTTTAAGTAATCTATACACTCAATGTGGGGCTCAAACTTACAACCCTGAGATCAAGAGTCGAACGCTCTGCTGACTGAGCCAGCTGGGTGCCCCAGATTTTAAAGATATTTTAGGCAGATCACAAGCATGATGTGTGTTAGCATTGGAAGTATCTGATAAAGCAAATATATGGCCTTAGTTTTTAGACAATTTCATTTCTCTCTGCCTTGCTTTATAAGGGGACATTATATGGCTAAAAAAATTACTACATAATATGAGTAAAAACATCTAAACAAAGAGCAGAAACAGTAAGAATGAATAGTAATACAAAACTGGAATTGAACCAATTTTAACTGCCTATTGTGAGAGAATTATCTCTCTTCCCCGAAATATTTCCTATCTCTTTAATGTGAACACATATTTCAAAACAGTCTGATCAAAGAAGAGAGAATAGAGCAGGGCGCCTGGATGGCTCAGTCAAGGTTGAGCATTTGATTTCGGTTCAGGTCATGATCTTGCAGTTCACGAGTTCAATCCCTGCATCAGGCTCTCTGCTGTCAGCACAGAGCCCGCTTTGGATCCACTGTACCCCTCTCTCTCTGCTCCTCACCCGCGCTTGCTCTCTCTCTCTGTCTCTCTCTCAAAATAAACTTAAAACGAGAGAGAGAATAGTGTGGTCTAAGTCAGAACTGTGATGACAACTGCAAATAGACGAGAAAGAGTAGAGATGAACGATGATCATGACACAATTATTCTGAAGAAAAATGTACATTTGGTTTTGAAACATAAATTTCGAAGACTGTAAATAACATACATTTAACAAATATCACTTCATATTCAGTAAACAATATTACAATGTGAACAAAAGCAATTACTTCAATTACCCTTTAAAATTACCTCAATTGCTGCTTAAAGTACAAATAGAACAGTCATATATTCACTGCTTGTTATTTTAATCAGAAGCTACATTCCTTAGATAAACTGAAAAAAAATCAGGTTTTTTATTCAACACAAAGCCACTGAAGACCTACTATGCACCAGCGGGAAACGGAAGATACAAAGCAAGATCATTGCTTCCAGCTCTTAGGAAGCTCACAGACGAGCGAAGAGCAGGAAGAATGAAATACATGGTTTAGCTCTAAAATATCTACAACAGTAACAGGACATAGGAGAGCAAAGAGAGGAGTGGTTAGCTTCACCTAGGAAGGCTTTAAAAAGTTTCCTGACGGGACGGCATCATAATCTAGCAAAAAAGGAAGGTAAATACGCTGTTTATGCGTAAATGTCAATAAATTAAAGCTACTATTACAGCGCACAGACACTTTACAAATGTGATTTCCCTTATCACAACAACCCTTTGAGACCAGCATTTCACAGTGGGAAAACAATGATGAGCAGGATAAAACACTCGCCCAAGGTCACGTATCTCATAAATGGAAGGGCCAAGAATGAGTCCAGGTTTGTGTAACTCGATATTCTTACTACCACACCAGGCTGCCTAAGCTGAGCTTAAAGAACTAGTAAGATTTAAACAGAGAGGAGAAAAAAAAAAAAAAGATTTAAACAGAGAAAAATAAGAAAATAGAGAGAAATACAATAGACAGGAGAGACATAAACCTATTAATTTATGAATTATCTTAGAGGGAAAGAGAGCTACTATCTTTGTAATATATACACACAACATGAAATACATATTTATACATATACATACATACTAATAACAGATACAAAGATATAATAAAACAAAAATAAACTAGGATAATTTATGAATTACACTGTGATTTAAAATTCCATGGGGCACCTGGATGACTCAGTCAGTTGAGTGTCCAACTCTTGATTTCAGCTCAGGTCATGATCCCAGAATTGTGGGATCAAGCCCCACATTGGGCTCCATGCTGGACATGGAGTCTGCTTAAAATTCATTCTCGTTCTCATTCTCTCTCTCCCCCTCTGCCCCTCCCCAACTCAGGCTCACTCTCTTGTCTCTCTCCTAAAAAAAAAAAAAAAAAAAAAAATTCCATACTCAAATCTACTTAAGACTGTTCCATGACTGAACAATAAGGAACTAAATTAAATTTTCAAAAATGTCTAATTTACAAATCCTTTAGTTGCTAAAGGCATTCATTAACTAATTTTTTATCAAGTTTAACCCATTAATTAAAATTAATTTAAGACAACACACAAACATAATTAATTAAACTACTTAACACTCTTACACAATTCTACTGTATTAAAAAAATCTGTTTTCTTTCTTATAATTCTCTTTAAGCACAAGAATGTCATAGTGATGCTATTAAATATGGAGTCTGTAATATGAAGTGACTCAAAAGTAATCAAACTCTACTTTTAACATTATTTGAGAGAAAAAAAATTCTACCTCTGCATTGTGCTTAGTTGTTATTTCTAATTTTTCTTTCTTAGCCCGATGAAGTTTTTTTCTGAGATCAGCAGTAAGATCCAAGTCTGTTTCACTTTTAAACATTTGTTTTACTTCAGAGGAGGCATTCTTCAACCTATAAAACGAGATAGTAAAATATAATTCTCACTAAGTATAATTTCTAGTATTTCTGGGACTCTAATGACTTATATTTCAGAAATCACAGGGAACATGATATGGTCTTTGCCCTAAAGAAACTTACAACCTAATAAAAGATGTTGAGTGCGAAATCTAGGTAGAAATACAAAGGAGTATATGGCAAGAAAGAAACCACCATTTCAGGATGGTACTTAAAGAATGATCCAGGGGTGCCTGGGTGGCTCAGTCAGTTGAGCATCCAACTTTGGCTCATGTCATGATCTCACAGTTCATGGGTTTAAGCCCCGCGTCAGGCTCTGTGCTGACAGCTCAGAGCCTGGAGCCTGCTTCGGATTCTGTGTCTCCCTCTCTCTGACCCTCCTCTGCTCACGCTGTCTCTCTCTCTCTCTCTCTCTCTCTCAGAAATAAATAAAACATCAGAAAAAAAAAAAGATTGATCCTATCATAAGCTGTGTAACTTTGGAAAAATTGAGTTTTTACTTTTTTAAATACTGTATTTTACTTATCGCAAATGCAATATATACATATTACAAAAAGAAAAAGTTTAAGTGACAGAATATAGATTCGGGCTTAAAACAAGCAGACTAAGGGTACTTAAGTGGCTCAGTCACTTAAGCATCCAATTCTTGATTTTGGCTCAGGTCATGATCTCACAGTTCATGAGATGAAGTCCCATGACAGGCTCTGCGCGGACAGCATGGAGCCTGCTTGGGATTCTCTCTGTCCCTCCCCAACTTGTGCTTTCTCTCCCTCTCTTTCAAAATAAATGAATAAACGTTAAGGGAAAAAAACAGCAAACGAAAGCACTTTCCCCAAAATTAAAATTAAAAATTTAATGAAAATACCAGCAAAGAGAATGAAGAGATAAAAATCCACAAAGAGAAAGAACACAGAAGATGAGAAAATAGTAATAAAATATTAGAAGTTAGAAAGCAGTTGGATAAGTGGTAATTGATTTACATAAGAGAATTGAATTTGAAGCCAAAAGTGAGGAAAGCAACCTGATTTACACTTGCGCCCCAAAAAGCTCAATTAATTGACAACAGCTTTGCAAATGGGGTAAAAGTAGAGCAGAAAACAAGATAATTGGTTGAAAGTCTGCCAATAAACGAGATCCTTGGATCTTCTACCCTATACACGATATGACTGGGTACGGGTCTCTTCCCTACTCTGGCAGAACACTAAGTAAGCGTTTATTCCCTGGAGAGCATAAACCAGAAGGTCTCTGGATTAGAGACATCAGATGCAAATGATGTGAAACCTCACACCAAAAATACGAGACTCAGGTCAAAACTTACATGATAAATGAGAGCCCTGGTCTTCTAAAACATCTTGCCTGCCAGAACAATGGCAGCCAAGGAGAGAATGGAAGGATCTTCCCTAGAGAATCTAACCAGCAAGGCGAAAAAGACCTAAGACGCTGAGGCTACAGGTTCTCCAACTAACAGCTTAACTACATCATGCTACAGAGAATGCAACAAACACAAAGCCTTCCACGCTGAGCTTCTAGTCCACTTGATGGACCATGCCTTTATTTTCTTTAATGTTTGCTTATTTTTGAGAGAGAGAGTGCAAGCAGAGGAGGGGTACAAAGAGAAGGGAACAGAGGATCTAAAGCGGACTCTGCACTGACAACAGCGAGTCCAATGCAGGGCTTGAACTCACGAATTGTGAGATCATGACCTAAGCTGAAGTCAGATGCTTAACCAACTGAGCCACGCAGGCGCCCCTCTACATTTATTTTTTTATTTTTTATTTTGTAATTTGAGAGAAAGAGTGAGAGTGTGAGGGAGGGAGAGGAGAGAGCGAGAGAGCGAGAATCCCAAGCAGGCTCCATGCTAAACGTGGAGCCCTACATGAAGCTCAATCCCATGATCCTGGGATCATGACCTGAGCTGAAATCAAGAGTTGTACACTCAGTCAGCTGGGCCACCCAGGCATCCTCCTCTTTTAAATGGTAACAGACAGGAGCGCCTGGGTGGCTTGGTCGGTTAAGCGTCCGACTTTTGCTTAGATCATGATCTCGCGGTTCGTGGGTTCGAGCCCCGTGTCGGGCTCTGTGCTGACTGCCAGCTCAGAGCCTGGAGCCTGTTTCAGAGTCTGTATCTCCCTCTCTCTCTGACCCTCCCCTGCTCACGCTGTCTCTCTCTCTCTCTCCTAGAAATAAATAAAAATTTTAAAAAATTTTTAAAAATAAATAAATAAATAAATAAATAAATGGTAACAGACAGCTAAGGGTCACCAGAAGTTAGGAAGCAAGAGTTAGAAAGAGATGAAATTGTGGGGGCAGAGGAAGAGTCCTCAAAGACTATGAGGAGGAAAGATAGCTTTAAAAAGAGGGGGGAAAACATATCTTCAGGCAAAAAAGAGGATATAATATCCATAAAACAAAAACTGAATGTAATAAAGAAGGAAATATTCAGAGAACAAAAAAAGAACTCTTGGAAATCAAAACACAAAATAAGAAAAGAAAGGCAAAATAAGTAAACGTAAAAGAAAAATCTCCAGGATGTCTGAAAAACATCCCCAGGGAAAATAATTACAACTTGGAATTTTATGGCCAACAAGTTACTTTTCAAAGACAAGGGAATGAGAAAGACTACAGTTCGTATCTACAAAGCACCAAAACATTTACGCGCCATGAAGTGGCTGATGGAAGATTCCACTAAAATAAGGATCTAAACCTAGAAAGAGGAAGACGGGGGATCCCAAAAGTAGAGTAAGACCAAAAAAAACCAAAAAGGCATCAAAGGGACTTTCAGGATGGGAAAGAAAGGAACACCAGGTAATGATTTTGGCCAGCAGCGCGCAACACCTAAATGGGAATCTGTCCCAGCTGCACTACTGGACTGGCCAAATCTTCCAGAAGTGAGTTCTTGAAGAAGATGCAAACAGAACACAACAGAATACTTCAGGGGTGTGGATGAAACAGGTGAAGGGGGTAGGAACACACTTATCAGGATGAGCACTAAGAAATGGACAGAATTGTTGAATCACCATATTGTACAACTGAAACTAATATAACACTGTATGTTAACTGTACTGGAATTAAAATTAAAAATAAGTCAGAATACTCCAACTATCTGAACTCATTGAGAGATTTATATGACTTGGTTGGAATATGAAGTTGAAGTCATGATAAACTCATAGAAATGAAGCAAACTAAACAATCAATGAAACAATTATCAACTCTATATGAGAAAAACAATATATGAGAGAAAAAAACTACTCAAAGGCTCAACTGGGAAGTTTTCAAAATTATAACACCATAAACACTGAAACTTAATCAAGATTGCAATATTAATAAATATAAAGAGGACAGAAAAAGGAGGCATGAATGAAAATGAAATTATGATCTTCTGTAGTGGGAAGTCAATAGATAATGGCTAAACCTGAAAAATCTAGTATCGATATAAAAAAAATTTTAAGAGATACAGGGGCATCTGGATGGCTCAGTTGGTTAAGTGTCCAACTTTGCCTCAGGTCATGATCTCACGGTTCATGAGTTTGAGCCCCACATGGGGCTCTCTCTCTCATTCCCCTCCCTCTCTACTCCTCCCCCACTCATATTCTCTCTTTCTGTCTCTGTCTCTCTCTCAAAATAAATAAACTTAAAAAAGTTTTTAAAAGATACAGGTTTTAAAAATCATCTTGGAGTATGGTGACAGTGCTCGCTTTGGCAGCACATATACCAAAATTGGAATGATACACAGAAGATTAGCTTGGCCCCTGTCCAGACTATAGTGACAGATGGTGGCTACAGCTACACTTTTAGTGAGCATAGCATAACATATAGACTTGTTGAATCACCATCTTGTACTGAAATCAATATAACATTGTGTGTCAACTATACTTCAATACAGAAAATACAAAGTTTTAAATAAAATTAAAAACAATTTTTTAAGGGGCACCTGGGTGGCTCTGTCGGCTGAACGTCCAATTCTTGATTTAGGCTCAGGTCATGATCCCAGAGTCATGGGATAGACCCCAGAGTCAGGATCTGCACTGAGCATGGAGCCTGCTTAAGATTCTCTCTCTCTCTCCACAACCCCCCCCCCCCGCTCTCTCTAAAATTAAGAAAAAATTTCTGAGGGTCACATTAAAAAAAATTTTAATAACAATTTTTTAAAATAAAAATCGTCTTGGAGAGTTGAAATGATTGTTTCTGGGATCAAGACGGTGATCACACAAAATTAGTACTGCTATTTTTCCTAATAGCAATAATTCTTCTAGAATATTAGATTCTTTAAATAATGTACATATGTAAAGTTAATTTTTTTAAACTAAATAACTAAAATAAGCTAAAAAAAACAATAGAGAGAATCAATGAAACCAAAACTTGGTTCTTTGAAAAGATTAACAAACTTGATAAATGTTTAGCTAGATTGACAAAAAAGAGAAAAGACTCAAATTATAAAAATAAAGAATGAAAGAGGGAATGCCAACCTAGAAGGATTATAATAAATACTATGAACAATTTTCTGCCAACAAGTCAGACAATGTAGATCAAATGAACAAATTCCTAGAAAGAGTGAAATTATCAAACCTAATCCCAAAAGAAACAAAATCTGAATAGACCCCTAACAGTTAAAGATAATGAATTTATAATTTTAAAAATCTAACCATAAAGCCCAAGTCCAGATGGCTTCCCTAGTAAATTCTACCAAACATTTAAAGAAGAAATAATACCAATCCTCACTTTAGAGGAGGTGGAAACACTTTCCAGCTCATTCTATTAACCCAGCATTATCTAAGATCAAAGTGAGTCAGACATCACAAGAAAGAAAACTATGAAGAAACTCTATTCTCTCATGAATAGAGATGCAACAAATCCTCAACAAAACATTAGCAAACCCAATCTAGCAACATCTTTAAACAATTACATAGCATGACCAAGTGGGATTCTACACGTAACAATGAACAAGCCAAAAATGAAATTTAGAAAAATAATTCAATGTATAATAGCATCAAAAAAAAGACTCAGGATTAAATTTAACAAAAGAAGTGTAAGCCTTCTACACTGAAAAATACAAATTATTGTTGTAAGAAACTAAAGACTTAAATAAATGAAAAGACATTCCATATTCACATTCATGTGTTGGAGGAGTCAGTATTATTAAGGTGACAATTATCTTCAAAATGATCTACACATCCAACATAATCCCTACCATAATCCCAGAATGCTTTTTTGGTTAAAAAAAAAAAAAACTGACAAGCTGATCTTAAAATTTATATGGAAAAGCAGAGGACTCAGAATAACTAAAACAATCTTTAAAAACAACAAATGGGAGAACTTTTACTTCCTAATTTCAAAACTTACTACAAAGCTTCAGTAACGAAAATAGTATGGAATTAAATTAAGAAAAGACATATAGATCAATGCACCGTAATTAAGGCTCTAGAAATAAACTCATATTTGGCCCATTAATTTTCAACAAAGGTGTCAAGGCAATTCAACAGGAAAAAACAGTCTTATCAACACATGGTGGTAAAACAACTGGCTATCCACACATGCATAAAGATTAATTTAGACCCTTACCTCACACCACACATAAAAGGTAACTTAAAATGGAGCACATACTTAAATGTAAAAACTGAAATTATATAACTTCTAGAAGAAAACATAGGAAAAAAATCTTCATGACTTTAAGTTAGGCAAAGGTTTCATAGAGACACAGATTGGACTTCAAAAAAATTTAAAGCATTTGCACTTCAAAAAGACATTATTGGGAAAATTAAGTCAATGGGGTTGAGCATTCAACTCTTAATTTCAACTGAGGTCAGGATCTCATGGTCAGTTTGGTCAGTCAGTCAGTCAGTCATGGGATCAAGCCCAGAGGTCAGGCTGCATGCTGGACAACGAGCCTGCCTGGGATTTCTCTCTCTCCCTCTGCCCCTTCCACTGCCCAAATGTGCATGCATGTGCTCTCTCTCTCTCAAAAAAAAAAAAGAAAAAAAGGAAAATGAAGTCAAGGCAACAAATGGGAGAAAATATGTGCAGATTATATATCCAATAAAAGATCTGTATCCAGAATATTTAAAAAACTCTTAAAGCTCAGTAACAAAAAGACAACCAGTTTAAAAATGAGCAAGAGATCTGAATAGGCTTTTCACCAAAGAAGATATATAAATGGCAAAAAAGCACATACAAAGATGCTCAACATCATTACTCATTAGGAAAATACAGATTAAAATCATAACATGTCACTTCACATTCACTAGAATGGCTGTAAGCAAAAAGTCAATCAAAAAAATTCACTCACTTATATTGTACAACTGAAAATAATATAGCACATCAAGTTAATTAACTCCACTGGAATTTAAGTAAATGTTTTAAAAAGATCAGAAAATAAGTATTGGCAAGAATGTGGAGAAACTGGGACACCTGAGCAGCCCAGTCGGTTAGCGTCCAACTTCGGCTCAGGTCATGATCTCACAGTTTGTGGGTTCGATCCCTGTCTCAGGCTCTTTGCTGATAGCTAGCTCAGAGCCTGGGGCCTGTCTTTGGATTCTGTGTCTCCCTCTCTTTCTGACCTCTCCTGCTCATGCTGTCTCTCTCTCCCTCTCAAAAACAAATAAAACATTAAAAATTTTTCAAAAAAAAAAAAAAGCGTGGAGAAACTAAAACCCTCATATATTGCTGGTGGAAATGTAAACTAGTTCAGCCATTTTAGAATACAATCTAGCACTTTCTTTTATTTATTTAGTTTTTACATTTATTGATTTTTGAGAGAGAGAGAGAGAGAGAGAGAGAGAGAGAGACAGAGCTTGAGCAGGGTAGAGGCTGAGAGAGAGGAAGACACAGAACTCAAAGCAGGTTCCAGGCTCCTCCACTCTGTCTGCACAGAGCCTGATGCGAGGTTCAAACTCACGAACTATAAGATCATGACTGAGTCAAAGCTGGATGCTTAACTGACTGAACCACCCAGGTACCCCTAGCAGTTTCTTAAAAAAAATTAACATAGGGATGCCTGGGTGGCTCAGTCGATTAAGCGTCTAACTCTTGGTTTCGGCTCAGGTCATGATCTCACAGTTTTGTGAATTCAAGCCCCGTGTCGGGCTCTGTGCTGGCAGTGACAAGCTTGCTTGGAATTCTCTCCGTCTCCCTCCCTCTCTGCCCCTCCCCCACTCTTGCTGTCTCTCTTTCTCTCAAGTAAATAAATAAACTTTAAAAAAATGTAATATAAACTTACTGTACAATGAAGTAATGCTGGTCCTAAGAAGCTACACAAGAGAAATCATCTCCACACAAAGACTTGTACAAAAAGTGGAAACAATTTACCATGTCCTTCAGCTGGTGAGTGGGTACCCAAAATGTGCTGTTTCCATACAACAGAATACAATTCAGCAATAAAAAAGAAACGAAATACTGATACTTGTTAACAGTAAGATAAACCTGAAGAACATGCCTAGTGAAAGACGTCAGACACAGAAGACCACATGTTGTATGAGTCCATTTATATGAATTGTTCAGAAAAGGCAAATCCATAGAAATAGAAAGTAAATTAGTGGTATATAGCAGAGTTTAACTTCATTTAGCCAGATTCTAGAATTCTAAAGAATAATTTAGTCATTAAAAATCATGACAGGTATATATTTTTGTGGTAAAACGTCCCCTCCAAAAGTGAAAAGGCTTTTAGCAAAAGGTTATATTTCATTCCCTACCTTTCTCCAACAGGACTTAAGGTAGCTTCTAAAGATAGGTGGAAAATGTTTCTATAGCAAATCCTATTTATAGTTGAAGTACATGTTAGTCATGGTCCTTGCCCCACCCACACATCCTTGCTGAACAAGGAGTCGAGATCAGTTCTTCTCAAACTAAACATGAGCAAGCACTATTCCCCTCAACCCCACAAGTGATGCTTTTGCAAAATGTAAAATACATTTTAATCTTTTTTAAGAGAGAGAATATGAGCAGGGGAGAAGGGCAGAAGGAGAGAGAGAGAGTAAGACTCTTAAGCAGGTTCCATACTCAGCATGGAGCGCAATGCAGGGCTCAATCCCATGACCCTGGGATCATGACACGAGCCAAAATCAGGAGTCGGAGGGTCAATGGACTGAGCCACCCAAGTGCCCCGAAAATAGATTAAAATGAGTAACTAAATAAGAAATTTTAAAAACAGATAAAATACAACCCCAAGTGTTTTTTTTTAATGTTTATTTTTGAGAGAGAGGGACAGAGTACGATGAGAGAGGCAGATAGAGAGGGAGAAAGGGAGACACAGAATCCGAAGCAGGATCCAGACTCCAAGCTGTCAGCACAGAGCCCAATGCAGGGCATGAACCCACAAACCATGAGATCATGACCTGAGCCGAAGTCAGATGCTTATCCAACTGAGCCACCCAGGTGCCCCAACCCCAAGTGTTTTATTACCAGATTCAACGAACAGAAAATTACAGTTAGATGATTATGAAAGTTTCTAAACACTTTCAATTTCTGTACTTATTTCTTTGTAAACCACGGTTTGGGTTGCACTCTCCAAAGTGGCTCAGTCTTATATGATAGACTCAGAGTTTCTACTTTTCACATTAGAAGCACCTTCTCCAAAGGCAGATATCAGTGGGGCAAAAAAGACAAGCAACAGCAATTCTTGGACTATGAACTCCAAGTAAAAGAGCAGGTGCAATGGGAGCGAAAACCAATGAATGCCTAAACAGAAGTCAGTAAACTACCGCTGCGGCAAGAAGGAAGACCAAAGCTGCCAGACTAGGGCTGCCCGAAGGGAGGATCACACAGAAATGTGAAGAAGCAGAAATAGAAGGAGAAGAGATTTAGAGAAGTAGAAACGAATAAGCAATTCTCTAAGGACAGGAAAAAGCACACACACTCTGACATTCATGGACAAGTCAACAAAGGAGCGAAGTCCCACATTCGGTTCTGGTGCCTGTGAAACATCCTACCTGCTTCTCTGGGCGCACCCCAAGAATCCTTACAGTCAGTACCCCGACTGCTTCTCCCTGCTTCTTACAACCCAAAAGCGCTCCTCAACATAAGGAATAGACTGGCGCTTACCTTTGGGTATCACCAAGGGCATTACTTGAAGTGTTTAAGCTCATGGTAAGTTCCAACTTTCAAAATGGCCCAGTGTCGTAATGATATACTTCGTTACTGATGATTAAAACCGTCCGAGATGTCTGTGGCTTACAGGTTAGGTGGGCTGAAGTCTGTTAAAATAGTAAACAGTATCACAGTAGTTATACATGTGAGTCTTGAGACTATGAATGATTTTTGTGTTTTTCTACAACTTACTCATATTTTTAAATTATAACACACATTTAAATTCTTGTATTTTTAAAAGCTATTGCATTTGATTTCTTTCAAGAAAGATTAGAAGCAAAAATGGCAAAATGTTAAAAAGATATTCCTTCTTGTAGGAACAAGATTCTATGATATTATTTTAATTTCTCTAATGAAAAGTCTAATGTCCGTGGTGACAGCTCAGATGCTGGAGCCTGCTTAGGATTGTGTGTGTGTGTGTGTGTGTGTGTGTGTGTGTGTGTGTGTGTCTGCCCCTCCCCCACTCACTCTCTGTCTCTTTCTCTCAAAAATAAACATTTAAAAAAATTTTTTTTTAAATAGTGACCAGGGCACCTGAGAGGCTCAGTCAGTTAACTGTCTGACTTTGGCTCAGGTCATAATTTAACGGGTTCATGGGTTTGAGCCCCACCTCAGGCTCTGTGCTCACAGCTCAGAGCCTGGAGTCTGCTTCAGATTCTGTGTCTCCCTTTTCTCTCTCTGCCCCTCCTCCACTGGCTCTTTGTGTGTGTGTCTCTCTCAAAAATAAACACTAAGAAAAATTAGCAAAAATAAAATAAATTAAATTAAAAAATAGTGACCAATTACTCTTGAACTAGAAAAGGAATGTAGAACCTATTTCTAGGGAATGGAATTCATTTGAAAGAAAGCTAAGTCCCTAAAGCTTATTTATTTTGAGGGGGGGAGCAGGTGCACAAGTTGGGGGGCAGATGGAGAGAGAGAGAATCACAGACAAGCTCCACGCTCTCGCTGTGGAGCCCAGCTCGGGGCTCAGACTCTGGAGCCGTAAGATCATGACCTGAGCTGAAGTCAGATGCTTAACCAACTGAGCCTTCCAGGTACTGGGCGTAAGTGAGATATTTTTAGTGCAATGCCACAATCAAAGAGACCAAAGTACTCCCAACAAATGATCTCATGGTAATTTTGAAAGTCCTTCTCTTAAGGGACCAAGGAAGAATAAAGAGAGTAGTTGTCACTTTCACTGGCCTCTCTGGAACCCTCTTCTATGGGACATAATCCAAATTATACAAAGCCAACCATTTAAAGTAAGTTGCTTTATTATATCTGTAGTGTGCAGGAATCTCTAGGATTATAATTTAAACAGAGATAACAATAATTAAGCCCAAACAGACACAAATAACCAAGATCCCACAAGTGTCCCTTGGTATCCCTAGGAGAAGTCCAATAGCCCAAGAAAGACCATAAGCTTCAGACTCAGAGAGATGTGACTTAGGATGCCTTTAAGCATCTTTATGAGTGTGGCCGTGGGCAAGTAGCTTACACTGTGTGAGCCTGCTTCCTCAATCTTAAGAAGGGAATAATTACATCAATCTCATATATTTGAGACTGAAATAATACATTCAGCATATATTCAGTGCTCAATCACTGTACGTTTCTATTACTGAACACAAACCCTATCCTCTATTGCTTTGTTACTGAACACAAACTTTGAGTATGGGCCAAGCTTCAGGAAAGCTTTTCTGACTTCATGGAATGCTGTCTTGTGTTGTTTTTGTGAATGTTAAAAGTTACGGTAGCTTGTTTCTGAGATTTCCTGGCCCTGTTTCCTCCTGCAGTTTGATCTGGGCCATTGCTTTGCTTTGCCAGCCAAGATGGAGACAAAACTGCAATGCTGAGAACCTAGTTATGATTTCTACTGACAAACACCTAGGGATCTTTTAAAACAATCAGTGATTTAGCTAATACTACAATAGTTTGACCCAGGACAAAGAAGATGGTAACAACATGATGGGAAGAATCCTATTTCTCCAGGGACCTAAAAGACTAAGTTTGGAAAGAGTGGCAGATAAATACTGCTGTCAATTTACTGAGCACCTACTACAGTGCACTGTACCTGTTCTGCTTCATACGCAGAACCCTGGTCCTTGTAACACTGCAATGCAAAGATGATCGTACCTGAGGTTAATTATCCCCACTTCAACTGAGGAAACTCACCTGATTCAGAGGCTAAATGACTTGCTCAAGGTCAGTAGCAACTAAATGGTAGATACTAAGGACTCAATCAAGCTCTTCTGATACTGAGTTCCCAAATCTTTTCACCTTACCACCGCGCCCCCAAAGGTCAGACTTCAGAGAGACTGTCCTCAGAATGGAAGTTAAAGAGTTAAAATCTAGAAAGAATGGACTCTTATATACTAAGAGTAATGTCCAAGGCTAAAAAGTAGATATATAAAATGCTTCTATTTCTGTGAAAAAAAAAAAGAAAACACACACACACGTATGCATATGTGTCACAAAAGGCACAAATAAAACCCTTAACTCACAGTAAAAGGATAGGGCTTTAATAATGTCTGTTGTGTTGTGTTTTGGTTTTATCTTGGGCAGAGAAGTGTGGGAAGAGGTAGTTTACCAAATTCAGTAAAGCTGTTTCAAGAAAGCTAAATTAAAAGGAATTAAGTAGGGGCACCTGGCTGGCACAGTTGGTCGAGCATATGACTCTATTATAACTCAGGGTTATGAGTTCAAGTCCAATGTTGGGTGGAGCAATTATTTAAAAATAAAGTCTTTTAAAAAAATTAAGTAAGTAATGATACATACCACACCATGGGTAAACCTTGAAAATAGTATGCTAAGTGAAAGAAGCCATACATAAGAGGCCACATACTGTCATTCCGTGCATATAAAATGTATGGAATGGGCAATATATGGAAACAGAAAGTAGATCTGTGGTTGCCAGAGGGCGGGGAGAGGGGGATTTGGGTCTGACTGTTTGAGGTTTCTTTTTAGGAGTGATGGAAGTGTTCTGGTATTAGATAGTGGTGATTGCTGTACAATGTGGTGACTATACTAAAAACCAATGAATTGTACATTTTAAAATAGTGAATTTTGAGATGTAAGTTATATCCCAATTTTTAAAATTCATCATCAAAAGAAAAAAAATCCTATCTAAAGTCTCCTTTAGGGACGGCTGGGTGACTCAGTCAGATGCTCAGGTCATGATCTCACACTTCATGGGTTTGAGCCCCGCATTAGGCTCTGTGCTAACAGCTCAGAGCCAGGAGCCTGCTTCACATTCTGTGTCTCCCTCTCTCCCTCCGCCCCTCCCCTGCTCTCTCCCTCTCCCTCCCACTGTCTCTCTCTCTCTCTCCCTCTCTCAAAAATAAAAATAAACATTAAAAGTAATAATGATAATAAATAAATAAATAAAGTCTCCTTTTTAGCAACATCTTATTTTTTTCCAGTCTCTGGTATCAGCTCCTGATGACACTGGGATTCAAGAGTGTATTTTAGGAAGACTAATGAAGAGCCAAAGTCAGATCTGTGGCTGAATTTAAACTATAATCAGAGTTCTATCCTATTGAACATGGAAGAGAAGATGTAGCAAAATCTCCCTTTTCATACACCAGAGTGAAAAGAAGGGGATAAGGGGCACCTGCGTGGCTCAGTCAGTTGAGTATCTGACTTGATTTTGGCTCAGGTCCTGTCCCACAGTTTATGGGATCAAGCCCTACACTAGGCTCTGAGCTGACAGTGTGGGACCTGCTTGGGATTCTCTCTCTCCCTCTCTGAATGCCTCTCTCCTGTGCACACGCACGCTCTCCTCAAAATAAATAAACTTTAAAAAAAAAAAAAAGGAAAAGAAGGTAACGAATAATGAGACAAGTAGCTAGGTACAGTAATGAAAATGTCAACGAAATAGGGAGCTAAGTCAAAGAATTACAGGTTCCTCACATAATGTGTCCCAAGCTTTACTTGAAACTTCCTATGAAATATCACAAATTAAAATAAATACTTTAGCTAATCTGCATGAGTAATTACAAATTCCTTATGATATACAATCACCATCAGCCTTTCTCCAATATGTATCTGACTCCGTAAATAAAGCTTTCCATTTGAAAACATTCAGTACGTCATCTATAAACAAATGATCTGATACGTCAAAGCTACTCCTACTATCATCATGCCCACTGTGACAAAGATCCCATCTCCAGACAGAGTGCTAAGAACTTTCTATAGATTACCTATTTCTTCCTACACTTCCCAAGGGGAAGATATTGTTAATGTCCTCCCTTTCTGTGTAAGGAAACTGGGGCTTAAAGATATTCAATCACTTGCCCAAAGTCATGTCTCTAGTAAGTGACAGTCTGGATTCAAGCCTACTCCATAAGGTCTGCTGTGCGCCTTGCCTTTGGCCTTCGAGACATGGTTCACACCCAGCCAGAGAACATGTGAGACCTTGCTTGTCAGGGAAGCCCTTCTGCTCCCTACTGCAGATTTTTCAGACACAGCTCATTCTTCCCTGCACCCCTACCCCAACTAAACTAACTACAAGTCCTTCCCAATGAAGGAGGACTCAGACCTCTGGTGGATTCTCAATCCAAATGTACTACCACAGGCTTGGGCCCAAACCAGGCTATCTTGTAGCAGTGGTCGATAAGGGCAAAGTTTAATTCAGCTTTTTATGTTAATATATTAGTCTTCTGTTCATAGTGGGGTTGGACTTTTCTTACTCAAATAGATGAGGGATATTATGTATATCCTTCTTCAATAACAAGGTTTTTAGAAATAGGTAATGCGGCAATTGAGGCCAAGGGACCAATGATCTAGACCTCCTAAGAGTAAATACCAGCCAGAAACACAATTCTACTTTAGGTTTCAGAGCCACTGCTGGTACAAAGTTTTCCTACCTCACAGCTGGGTCCTTCAGTGGCTCATCCAGAATGTATTCAATTCTTAGTATGTCTGTACAGATCGGCGGGGGGAGGATGAAAAGATAAAAGCCACTATTATTGAGCACTTACTATGTACCAGACTGTGCTAACCATACCCTGATCTCACTGAATCCTCCCAATAGCCTAGGAGATGATTACGCACGTTTCACAGATAAGGAACACTGAGGTCTGGAGAGGCTGAGTAACCTGCATAAAGATATCAGTATTCAAACTCACCTCTGGCTGACTCCTGAGTCCACCCTTTTTCATAACATAGGGCTTTCTTCAATAATAACACCTGTGTTGGGGAATTCTATCTGCAGACTTCTATATCTCACCTTTAAAAGGATGTCTGGGTCCTTCCTCAAAACAAGATCATGACAAGGGGGCTGAGACAATCAAAGAATTTTAGAATTAAATAGGACTTTCATCCTATTTAGTCCATCCTCCTTATCTGACAGATAAGGAATCTAATGACTAGTAAGCTTGGGTGATTTACCTTAGGCTACTAAGCTAATAAAACTCTATGCCAGGACTAATACCCAAAGCTCCAGACCAAAACTACTCCCTCCTTTCCTCTTAGCAGGTTGCACTGCCTTTGTTTCTTCTTCATATCAGGGGAGACCAGTGTAGTTTCCGCTCTACCATTGTTTTGTTGTTATTAGGCACTAACCCTTCAATAAAACAGGTGACAAAATGGGAGGGTCTTCTCTCCAAAATTATGTGTGTTTTGTATTTTAAAGAGGTGGGCGACCAACTGAAATTGCTGAGTAAACTTATGCAGAATCACTAGAGATCTACTTAAAATGAAAAAATACTTATTTGCGTAGGATAATCATCATGATGGAGTAAAGAACAGTCAAAAGGAGGCTCTACTTCTGTAGAAAATGCACAGCCTTGGAAAAACTGCCAAATTTTCGACATCTGTTAGAGTCCTAGAAAGTAAGCAGTAGAAGCTACAGATGACAACCTAACACCACTCAATCTTTCATTGATCAAACATTTATAGAGTATCTAATGTGTGGCTGGCATTTTTTTAAGGATGGAAAAGACTTGGTCCTTGTCCTCCAAGAGCTTACTGATTCTCGGAGGGGAAAAGCCCGGCAGTCAGGATATGTAAAGCTTAGCAGCTCCAAGTGCATGCCCTCTGGGTCCCTAGCCAGTCCTCCGGGTCCAGCTGCAGCGGTCTGAGGTTAGGGCGCCCCAAGGGGATCTTCCCCCAGGTGGGCGGAGAGGCCCAGCCCGCGGAGCTGGAGGCGTGTCCCCACAAACGGCACCAACAGCCCCAGGACAACCACAAACTAACTCGGGGTTCCCCATAACTCTCACTGCAGCCACCCATACCGCTCCTCTCAACACCTCCCCGCCCAAGTCGTTCACCTCGAAGCCCCGACACCCCGTGGTTACCTCAGGGGGCTCCCGTGGTCCAGACCGCACACCCAAGACCCCAGGGGCAGCTCCAAATCTCAATGGTAGAAAGAGGCCTAGGCCGATCGAGGCGGGGGCTTAGAGCAAAAAACTGTTGGAACCCGACGGACTCTAGGACCCGGGAAGGGGGAACGAATAGCAAAGGGGGACCGGAGGGGACAAGCTCTGGGGAGACGGCGGTGTTTACAACGGCCACTTCCGGAGACTGGGCTTCCCCCGCAGACCTTCGCAAACTTTCACAGGCCTCCCGGCCCCGCCCCAGGCGACCTCTTTCCTCCCGCCTCCCGCCGCCCGCAGCGCCAGGATACGCACTCGGAGAAAGCGGGACTCGGATTGGAAGAGCTAAGCCCGCGAAGCTGCGCGGCCGCGGAGGGGGAGGCGAGCAGGCGCATGCGCCGTTGCTGAGAAGCGGCGCGCTCGTGCCCGCGCGCATCCCCGCGCCGCGCGCGTCCCTCCGGCACGGGAACGCCCCGGCCCACGATCCAATGTGCTGTTCTCAGCCTGAGGTCTCCGGGTCGCAGTCTCAGAATCCCCAGAGGCGGCTGGCCGTGCAAATATCGAAGCCTTAACCCCTTTCCGCCGCTGCTGAATAAAAATCTTAAGAGGCCGGATCCCTGATTGTGCGTTAAACTGCGGATCCTAAGGCCAGCGTAGCCCCTCGGGGTCTGTGGACTGGTGCCAAAGCCTGGGGGAAATTCTCGGGGCTACGCTACTGCGCAAGTGGCTGGTTTCCCGCTGTTTAGCCCGCTCTCTGCCTGCCAGACGCTTCTTGTTCCCTCCCCCATCCCCACTGTAGCCCAGCCTGGGGTGCTAAACAGGGCCGCGAAAATACGGGTCAGCGCGCTGATAGTGTTCCAGCGCCTTTCGTTATAAATATTACATAACGAGGTACCAAGCAAAAAAAGTCCTTAGAGCCTTAGCATATGCTCCCACCTCTCCCCACTCCTCCTCCAAGCCCCCTAGTGCGCGCGCGCGCACACGCGCCTTCCTCCAGTTGATAATTTATACTTCGGTTTCTTCCGGTCGCTGCTTCACAATCTGCTGCCGCCCCAGGAAGATTGGAAAACCAAACCCTCTTTTGTTCCTTCGCATTTGAAAACCTGTTCCCCAAAGAACGGTGCAAATTGGCGGGGATTTTGAGTGAGGATTTTTATCTTCACCACCTCCACCTCCTCCCCTCAAAAAGCTGTTTGATACAAAATGAACCTTTAATGCTAAAATTGTCCCATTTGTTTGTAATCAACCTGAAACCAGGTGTAGGGGCCGGCCTTTCCCTGTCTCCTTGGGGAAGGCCAACGGTCATAAATGCAAATATAAGTTGAGATTTAAAAAAAAGCCTCCTTGATTCCTGTAACTGAAACTTCAATTGGTTTGAGTTGTCACTTAGATTAAAAAAGAAAGCCTGTCCCGCTTCCTAATCATTTTGCCAAAAAGAAGATAATACTTCAAAGGAAAGAGTTTACGGAAAGGAAAAAAAGAGCCCACTCTAACATTTAGAAATGCGGTGGAAAATTACAACAGACTAATGAGATTAGCGCTTTTTTTGGCTTAACGAGTTTTAAATATTTACAAGATTTCTTATTTATGGTTTGTTTGTTTGTTTTAATCACAAAATTGGGGCGCCTGGTTAGCTCAGTGAGTTGAGCAGTGACCTCAGCTCAGGTCATGATCTTTCAGTTCATGGCTTCGAGCCCCGCATAGGGCTCTGTGCTGACAGCTAAGAGCCTGGAGCTTGTCTTCAGAGTCTGTGTCTCCCTCTCTCTGCCCCTCTGCCCCTCCGTCACTCGTGCCATCTCTCTCTCAAAAATAAAAATAAATAAATAAAACATTAAAAAAAATTTTTTAATCACAAAATTGAATATTGTATGGCACAGGTATTTTTCAAATGAGGACTAGGTGCCACATGAAACCTAGCGATCTTTATTTATTTGTTCATTAGTATTTATTGAACACAGAACTATATAGAAATACAGGATATTTAATACAAGCACAATGGGAATCCAAACAGGCAAATGTTAACAACAACCAAGAGCACCCCCAAAGGCTTGACAGAGCACTGTTAGCTTACTCCGGGAAGATGGTTATAGATTCATGAGGCTGAGAAGGAACAGGAAGACGGGAAGCTACACACCAGCACAGGAAACAGCATGAAGTATTTATTTGGAAACCTGGAAGAAAACCCCAAATCACAAGGACCTTCTAGGTCATACACTAGTCCCCCTTATCCATGGTTTCTCTTTCCAAGGCTTCCAGTACCCGAGGTCAAACAAGGTCATAAAGCAGATCATCCTCCTTCGGACATATTCAGAAGACGGGTAGTAGCCTAACTCTATGTCGTAATGCCTACATCATTCACCTTGCTTCCTCTCCTCACATTTTTTTTAACCATCTCAAGAGTACAGTACAATAAGGTTTTTTTGAGAGAGACAAAGACCACATTCACGTAACTTTTACTACAATATATTTTTTTCTATTTTATTATTGTTGTTGTTAAGCTCTTACTATGTCTAATTTTTCATTTAACTCTGTCATAGGTGTAGATAGGGTTCAGTGCTATCTCCCGTCTCAGGCATCCATTGGGAGTCGTGGATGTATCCTCCACAGACAAGGGAAGACTACTATAGTTCATCAAGCAATGAAGCTAACAAAGGGTGTTGAGCAGAAAAGTTATAATAATTACACAATCAGACTGTTTAAAAATATTCGGAGGTTTTCTATGTTTTTCTAATAGTTACAAGGTTAATTCTCTTCTGTTTCTGTTTGCCTAACACGCTACTGTTACTTACAAAACGCTGTACGTAAAGATATTCTCAAATTCACTTCCCTTTTAGCCTTAAGAGTCACAATAATCACCTCATTCTTTTTACTTTCAAGATAATGTTCAAGTCATCCCCAGCACCCCACCAAAACAGCTACCAAAGCCAATAATGACCTCATTCCTAAATCCCAGACCCTTTGAATTCACTGACACTTTGATCCTCCTCAGATTTTTCTCCAGTAAGACTCTTGGTTTCTCCAACTCTGACCTTTTTATTGCTTGCCGCTCAGAGAACTGTTATCCCTTTCTGGCCTCTCAAGGTGATAGTTTCCTGGTTTCGGCCCTCAACTTTCATATTATTACCATATAAGCTTCCTCAGTGATGTCGTCCATCCCTGTGTCCACATGACATTATAATATCATAAACTCAGCTGTGGTTATGAATTTTTTTTTTGAGAGAAAGAGAGAGAGAGCACGTGAGAGCATGAGCAGGGAAGGGGCAGAGGGAGAGGGAGACAGAGAATCTTAAGCAGGCTCCATGTTCAGAGTGGAGCTTGACTTGGGGCTCGATCTCATAACCCTGAGATCATGACCTGAGCCAAAATCAAGAGTTGGATGCTCAACTGACTATGCCACCCAAATTTGCCCCTGTGGTTGTGAATTTTTAACTCTCATTTGAATAAAATCTGGCAATATTGAATTCCACATATCTAAACATGATCTTTCTTAAATTCTTAATGGAGCCCCCCAAACTGCTCCTCCACCTATTTTTAAAACTAATCTCTGGGGTGTCTGGGTGGCTCAGTTGGTTGGGGGTCCAACTTGGGTCATGATCTCGCTGTCCATGAGCTTGGGCCTCGCGTCGGGCTCTGTGTTGATAGCTCAAAGCCTGGAGCCTGCTTCAGATCCTGTGTCTCCGTCTCTCTCTTCCCCTCCCCTGCTCGCTCTCTCTCTCCCTCTCTCTCTCTCAAAACTAAATAAATGTTTAAAAAAATTTTTTTAACTGATCTCTTAGACACCCCAGTGAAAAACATCAACGAGGGGGCACTGAGGTGGCTCAGTCAGTTAGGCATCCAACTCTTGATTTCAGCTCGGGTCATGATCTCACGGTTCATGGGATTGAGTGCCCCATCAGCCTCCACACTGACAGTGCCAAGCCTGCTTGGTATTCTCTCCTCCCTCTCTCTCACTTGCTGCCTCAAAATAAATAACAAAACTTAAAACAGAAAAAAAAAAACAAAACCTCAGAATCTTTCTTCTTTCTCAAGCTCTCAATCCCTACATCTAAGAATCACTAAATCCTACTTAGTTTCTTCCAACTCTCCTGTCTTATTTCTATACCTGCCACTAAACACCTTCATGTATGTATTTCTTTACTGCTTCATATTCAGTCGCTTGTGATCAGAACCTGTGTTGTGGCCCGATGCAAGTCACTCTCCTCACGTTTCTGTACAAATTCTCAACATTCTTCTAAGTTGACAACTAAGCATCTAGGGCATTTTTAAGCTGGTAAATATGAAAGAAGAAGATCAAAAAATAGGGGGGGAAATCAAAAGCAGGCCTAAGGGCACATGTGTACCTTTCTGACACTAGGGGAGTGTTCTGAGCAGATTTTATGCATGTGAGCCTCAGGGTTTTTTAAGCACCAGATGAACCGCATCCTTTTGACCCTTCAGTAACCTCCCTCAGAAGGTTCAAACACCAGGTGCTTGATTATTATGCTGGTTTGGTATCAATTCTCAGAACTGCAAGACCTTGCCATAATTGTTGCTTTCAGTGGCTCTGGTCCTTTGCTCCTTCAGTCCCCATTCTGTGTGCTACAACAGAAATGATCCTTCTAAAGCATTGTCAACCTTCAAAATTAAACAACAGAGGTTATCAAGCAGTAAATGAGTTTGTTCCAAAATAGCAGAGGCGCTGCAATTTGGAACATCCCCACTATGGGGAACCACAGGCAAGTCCAGAGAACAAAAGGAGGGAGCATCCTGTTATAGAGGAAAGGAGAAAATCAGGAGGAATTGTTGTGAACAAAAGTTCATTGGTGGAAAATGAGAGCTACATATATAATTTTCACATTGTAACTCAGATTATGTTACCCTATCAATCAAATCTTTTAATGGCTCCTCAGGCCTTACTGCATAAAAACCAGACTTAACTGTTTCCCCCTCCCTCATCAGTCAAGGGCCCCAGTCTTGTCCCTACCTGCCTTTCTAGCCTTGCCTTCTCCTTTCTAACAGTAAATCTTCCCTTTCCTTCACATAGCAATGGAAAACACAAAACATTGAGGAATACATGGAGTAAGATGTAGGCAAGGACGTATAGTAAGAGCTTTAAAAATTTTTTTAACTATATTTTTTTAATTTTTTAAGTTATTTTGAGTGGGGAGGGGCAGAGAGAGAGGGAGATAGAGAATTCCAAGCAGGCTCCACACTGTCAGCACATAGCCTGATGCGAGACTCTATCCCATGAACCGCGAGATC